CCCATTTGAGGTTTGTCCTACTAGGCTTTAGACTTTGTGTTTGTTCTTCCGGACCTTTGGGTGCCTCTGTATGAAGGGACTCTCAGTGACCATCTCCCCTATGCCTTCACCTTCTCCTTTGTTTCTTCTTCGTATTTCCTTCTCTGTGGGATTCACTATGATTTCTGGGGCCCTCCTGCTTGAATCTTCCTGTGTTCCCCAAACTGTCGTTGTGAACAGTCTGGGTGTCTGAATGGATGAGAGAACTGCCGATGTGAGTGTGTATGGGAGGGAGGACTGTGGTACTGATGAGGTTGGGGTGGGGGGTACCTTCTCTGTGGCCTCTGCGAGGGAGGGCCTGGGTGGCTTCTGACCCTGTGGGGCAGGACTCCCTCTGCCCTCTCCATCTCTCCTTTTCCAGGAGCCTTTGACTTTGACGTTCCTTACCCAAGCTTTTCCCCAATCCTCCCATCCCTAGGCACAGAAGCACCTTCTAATCCAGTCCTGGTGGAGACTCAGGTAGGGCTGTGCCACCAGCAAAATGGCCCAACTCATGCTATTTCAAGGAAAAGCTTGCCCGTTTACTTTCTGAGAAATTACAAGGACACTGGGAGTTTGGAGTGTTTATTGGCTTCTGTGGATTGATAGGTGGTGGTGGTGGTGGTGGGTGTGTGTTTGAGAAAGAGAGACCTGCTCCCAGTGCCGCCAGAGCTGGTCTTGAAGGTGGCCTATAGAGTTAACACCTATGAATTGCCATCAAATGTTGTTTCTCTTGGTCTGTTGTTCTCTGGCCCTCCTGGCAGGATTGATCATACCACCATCCCAAGGTGAATTATGCTCAAAGATCCCACATAAGACCCTTTGATTCCATTCCTGGAATGCATTCTATATTGCTTCTCCATATTTCTGTTGCAAATTTCACTTCCGTTTTCTTGCTTGCTTCCCAGCAGAGTAGGAAAACAACATGTCACTCTTTTTTTATTCTAAACAATGATGTACTCGAAGCCCTTATTCAATTCCTCTCCCTATTCTTCCCCAAATGAAACGGTGCCAGATTCTTTAACCTGTCGTCAATAAGCACTATTTATTATCTGGATTTACATAGTGTCTTTTACCCCTGGAACTCAAAATGCTTTCAGATATAATTGAGTCTGATCTCCCTGGTGCCTGAGCCATTAAGAAACCATTAGTGTATTCCTGTTGCCGGCAACTAAATGGCCCCCTAGTGGCCTGAAAGTGAATATGCTTTTCTAAGTGCCTCTCCCCCACCAAGGTTAGGCAGGAACTCAAGATCAAGGCAAGTTTGGGGACAGAAAGGACCCGAAAGGCCATCTTTGGTGAATATCCTCAACCACCCTAGAGCCTCTTGTACAACATTCCTGTGGAGCACGCTGCAGCATCAGCTAAGTGACTGTCTCTGCCCCCTGAAGAAGCCCCGTCAGTCTCTGGAGAAGTTTGAAGCAATCCAAGCAGCAGCCGGAACTGTGGCCTTGGATGTGACAGGCACTATGTTGAGAGTCATAAGTATTCACAATTTATCGGTAGTTATTTTGTAGCGGAAACTGCTTCAAGAGGGTTAAAGCACTTACCCAAGGTCACATAACCAGAATTCAGTTAAAACCTAAGTCTTGCTGACTCCAGGGCTTGGGTGCTTGTTGCCTGCTCTTCTCTGCTTGCTAGCACAGCCAAGTCTTGTCTCTGTAGTGGCATTTGTGAGGTACCAGCCAGGTTTTCCATGGGATAGACAAACTCATTCCTCCAGCTGCTGGCTTATTGGCTATGGATGACTCCCTGCTGCTACTGTCTTTGGGAACTGTCCCTAGGCAGGCACCAAAGGGCTGTTTGGTTTTGCTCTTTGCTCTTTTGGCTCTTTTGGGGGCCCACCACCCAGCTACCAAATAAATCACTCATGGAGGCTTATTCTTAATTATAAATGCCCAGCCTTAGCTTGGCTTGTTTTTAGCCAGCTTTTCTTAACTTTAAACTATTCCGTCTACCTTTTGTCTCTGGGGTTTTTCCTTTTCTTACTTCTGTAATCTTACTTTCAGTCTTACTCCGTGGCTGGCTGGCTGGTCCCTAACATCCTCCTCTCCTTGTTTTCTTGCTCTTTCTTCTTTTTTCTCCTCCTTTTCTCCTTCTATTTATTCTTCCTGCCTGCCAGCCCCACCTATCCTTTCTCCTGCCTTACTATTGGCTGTTGAGCTCTTTATTAAACCTTCAGGTGTTTTAGACAGGCACAGTAACACAGCTTCACAGAGTTAAACAAATGCAACATAAAAGAATGCAACCCATCTTTGCGTCATGAAACAAGTGTTCCAAAGCATAAACAAATGTAACACATCTTAAAATAATATTCTCCAACACCAAAGGAAGTTCCCTCTGTTTCCCCATCTACAAAACCAATAGGTGAAGTGAAATCAACATGTATTGGCAGGAGCCAGAGACAGAGGTATAGGTTAGTGGGTTGTGGGAAGGACTGAACACAGTATTGGATCAGGGAGTCTATTGTTCTGGAAGCACTGTCCTGTGAGGCAGGATTTCATACCCTAACGAAGACCTTGGGAGACTGGAGAAACACCAGAATTCCAGAACTGCCATGGAAGAAGGTCTCAAAAAACTGAGAGTGGGATGCTACAGTGGTATTCTATGTATGGCTAGGAGCCTATTTCAGTTTGGCAAGAAGACTCAGACAATACTTAGGTATCAAAGCAACAAGGAATGTCTGGTGGGAAGGATGCCAGTATCATAGAGCTTCTTCTCAGTGTGAGCTGTCCTTTGTAGGACAGAAAAAGGCCCTTCCAGAACTGGCCCTGTGAAATAATAGAAACCAGTTGTTGACATAGCTAATATGAAGAGCATCCAGTGAGGGGTTCTGACCAGTAGATCTATGGAACATGTTGATACTATAGCGTCCCTTGGGCAAGCTAGCTGGGCAGCTCACAATGGTACATTGTAGCTCAGCTGTGCCACGGCTTCTCAAGCATTTTAGTTTCAGATTTCCTGGGCTAGCCTTGGTAACATAACCATGTAGTCCTAGCTACTTGAGAGGTTGAGGTAGAGAAACCACTTCAGGCCAGGAGTTCAAGACCAGTCTTGGCAACACGACACAGACATAAAAAAAACAATTGAGGTCAACAAAAAACTTTTGTTTGTGTGGGTTATAGTTATTGATATATTGCCACATTAAAAAGAAGGCAGGAATTTATAAAATATTATTTTGTTAGAACATTACATTTCCATTGCACGTGAACCAAGAGCATATTTTTATGAAAATAAATACATTTATTTTAAAAATAGTTTTTAAAAAAGTAGCTTGGCTGTATTTATTTAAGATGGGGTCTTGCTGAGTGGCCAAGTCTCTCCTTGGACCCGCAGTTTTCCTGCTTCAGCTGGGATTACAAGTGTGTGCTACTATGCCTGGTTAAGTTTCACGTTTTTTTTCTCTTGAGACAGGATCTCACTGTGTAGCCCTGGCTTTCCAGGAACTAGCTCTGCAGACCAGGCCTCGAACCCACAGAGACCTGCCTGTCTCTGCCTCCCCAGTGTTGTGATTGAAGATGTGCCACTATGCCTGGCCAGTTTCACATTTTTACAACTCTCTTGCATGTTGCTTTATGGGAGACAGCTGGAGTCTTACTTTTGCTGGCACTGTGTTCCTTCGGTCAAAATATATAAAGAAAATCTGGCATCATGCAGATATGTGGTTGGAAAAATAGAAGAGTATTTTAGTAGTCTTTCAGATCGTTGTGGCTATTTTTTGTACTACATCAAATCTCAATGAGTACTAAATGGAAGTTGCAATGCAGACTATAAAACATTACTAGCTCGGCGGTGGTGATGGCGGTGGCGGTGGTGGTGGTGGTGGTGGTGGTGGTGGGGCGGCGGCGGCACACGCCTTTAATCCCAGCACTTGGGAGGCAAAGGTAGGTAGATCTCTTGAGTTCAAGGCCAGCCTGGTCTACAAAGCGAGTTCCAGGATAGTCAGGGCTACCCAGGGAATCCCTGTCTCAAAAAAACCAGAATAAACAAACCAAAAAAACTCAAAAAACCTGCACCCCGTTATTACTATATCGGTGGCACTTTGGTAACTGACACTGAAGTCATTGTCCACCTTGCTCTTGGAATGGCACTTTACACATACATAGATGATTTTGTAACACCCTACTTTGGTTAGTGTGAAAACGTTGATTTACTGATGTATGCATACGTCCAAATATTGTTACATTTAATTTTGTAATATGCTAATCATATTTGGTAACACCAGAAACAGTTTAAGCCCTTGGAAATCAGTCAGGGTCATAATATGGTGCAAATAGGTTACTGTGAATTCTATTTTTACTTGAGAGGTCAGATTTTTATCATTAGTGACAGATGTCAGTCTTCCTCACAGTGACAGAGACTCTTGGTTCACATTTGAGCAAACATCTGTCAAGCAGTCTGCATGACAGTGACTTTATGTCAGTTGCTCTTCGAGTGGGAACAATGTTCCGCAGGGAGGTGGCTAGTTCAGTTTGAAACCTGGTCACTCAAGTGATTTCCCCAAAAGGACAAGTGTGCTCCTGCATGCAGGAGAGCACTTTGCATTCAGTCACTCAGAATATTAGAAAGAAATGCATGCATCATGATTTAGTTTAGTTTAACAATGGTTATTGCTTTGTGAAGGATATTCTTAAGTGAAATTGGCTTTTCCTTTCTTTTCTTGCCTTTCCTCTCTTAAACTTAGTAGTTTATCATTGGCATTCCATTTGGTGCCATTTGGTGCCATTTCCTTGTTGTTGTTGTTTAAAGATGCCAAAAGTAGCCAGGGGATGGTGGCGCACACCTTTAATCCCAGCACTTGGGAAGCAGAGCCAGGAGGATCTCTGTGAGTTCGAGGCCAGTTTGGTCTACAGAGTGAGTTTCAGACCAGCCAGGGTTACATAGTGAGACCCTGTCTTGAGAAACCAGAAGGAATAAGAATGAATGAATGAGCAAGTGAGTGAATAAATGAAGTTATGTCATTTTTTTCTGGAAAATGAATATAGCTTGAGATCATAATGTTTATTAAAGTAAGCCAAACTCAAAGATGAATGTCACATTTTCTTTCACATGAGGAATTGTACGAGGGTTCCCTAAAAGAACAGACCGAGAGAATGGATTGTCTTACTGGGATGTGGTCCACGTAGTCCAACAATGGCTGCCTCACATTGTGGAGGTCAGGAATCCAGTAGTTGTTCAGTCTGCCGGACTAGGTGCCTTGCAGTCCGTCCTGATCTGGCGCTGAAGACCTGAAGGAGTCCTGGAGAGCTGCTGGATATGTTGGTCCTAAAACTGGTGAAGGAATGCCACAGCAAAGGGTAGATGGATCTGCCAGCAAGAGTGAAGACAAGCAGGCAAGGCAAAGCTTCTCTTGCCAGAAGGTGTGGCCCAGATTTAGGGCAGGTCTTCCTGCTCTAAATAATCTGATTCAGAAAATCCCACACCGGAGTGCCCAGCAGCTTGCTTTTAGTTAATTCCAGACGCAGTCAAGATGACAACCAAAGCCATCACAGGAGTCTAGATTTTAAAAAAGTCATGGAAGCAGAAGAGGGACTATTTGGGAGGGGGAGGGGACCACTAGGAGGGGAGAGGGAAGAGGGGATAATGGCAGCTGAATGTGATCAGAGTATATTATCTACATGTATGAAAATGTCATCTTAAAACCCCCCCTTTTTTTGTACTGTTAAGATAAGCTAATAAGGCCATTGAGATGGTGCCACAGGCAAAAATGCCTGCTGCTTGATGACCTGAGATTGATCCTGGGAAGAAGAGATGGAGAGAACGCCCTCCCACAAGTTGTCCCCTGACCTCCACACATATACCTTTGCACACCCGTGCCCACAAACACACACACACACACACACACACACACACACACGCAAAGTAAGTTTTAAAATGTACTAGAGATGCACAAATAAAAATTTTAAAACAAAAGTAACTGATGAAAGACCAAGAGACAGAGCTATACATGCTGTCCAATTTCTAAACCTGACTCCATTTTTACATCTAGAACTTGACTGGTGGTTTGAATAAGAATGGCCCCCATGGGCTCATATATTTGAATGCCTGGTCATCAGGAAGTGGCACTACTTGAGAGGGATTAAGAAGTGTGACCTTGTTGGAGGAAGTGTGTCACTGGGGGGTGGACTCTGAAGTTTCAAAGGCCCAAGTCAGGCCAAGTGTCTCTCTCTTCCTGCTGCCTGTGGATCTGGATGTAGAACTCTCAGCTCCTTCTCCAGCATCATGTCTGCCTGCATGCCACCATGCTCCCCACCATGATGAGAATGGACTAAACCACTGAAACTGTAAGCAAGCTTCAATTAAATGATTTCTTTTATAAGAGTTGCTGTGGTCATGGTGTCTCTTCACAGCAATAAAATAGTAACTAAGACGTTGACTTAGTGGCCATGTTTCCAAGAGGAAGGCTCCCAGAGCACTCTGAGAATGCAGCTGTAATTTTCCAACTTCTTCAGAGTTTTTTTTTTTTTTTTTTTTTTTTGTTGTGTGTGTGTGTGTGTGTGTGTGTGTGTGTGTGTGTTTGAGTACTGACTACTTGAGGACTGGAGCAAGCATGAAAGCTGAATGCTAGATATAGTGTCCACCTTGATACTGAAGATAAACCTGACTGGAGATTGCATTATCATCATAGCCTTCCTGTACAGAGGTCTAACGTGAAAATCTGGACAGGCTCACAAGCTGCAGCAAATGAGGATGAAGAGCAAGAAAGTCTAGGGAAGAGGGAGGTGTTGAGTCTATGGCAACAGGCACGAATTGGGAAAATATGTGTATCACACGCTAGTGTCCACTCAAGAGAACCAGCACAAAGGAGATATCCAACAGCCAAGTAGATAGGAGGTCCGGCATGTACGGCACAATGGTCACATGAACGGCTGTGGTGACCTAGATGGAGGCTGTGCACGGGCATATAAATGATGGTTGGGGTGGCCCACCAGCATGGATTCCCATACAGCAAGAGTGACCTCTCTGTTACCTCCCAAGCCCAAGAACCAGCCTGTCATATGCTAACAAGTTGATTATATTACACCTGTTTTGTTCTAGAAGTGTCGGTATCTCACTTGACTCAAAGTGGCATATGCCCTGCATATGGAGTTAGCTTTCCATCTGAAAGACCGCTGTTTGAGATGCTTAGAAAGTGTTGACTTGCTGACAAGGTGTAATTGGTTGTTTTTTCTTCTTTGACTCTTTTACTCTTTGTTTTTTACTCTTTTGGGGGCCTGCCACCCAGCTCCCAAATAAATCACACACAGAGACTTATTCTTTCTTATGAGTGCCCGGCCTTAGCTTGGCTTGTTTCTTGCCAGCTTTTCTTAACTTAAATGATCCGTTTGCTTCTGGGCTTTTATCTTGCTTCTGTATATCTTACTTTCACTCTTACTCCATGTCTGGCTGTGTGGCTGGGTGGCTGGTCCCTTCTTTTCTCACTCCTCGATCTCTCTTGCTTTCCTATTCCTCTTTTTCTCCTCCTATTTATTTTCTCTGCCTGGCAGCCCCACCTATCTTTTCTCCTGCCTTGCTATTGGCCGTTCAGCTCTTTATTAGATCAATCAGGTGTTTTAGACAGGCAAAGTAACACAGCTTCACAAAGTTAAACAAATGAGACATAAAAGAATGCAAAAACCCCTTTGCATCATTAAAACTGTTAAAAATGTTCCTCAGCATAAACAAATGTAACACATATTAAATTAATATTCCACAGAACACTGTACTTTATAGCAAAAGTAGCACATGATCTCAGGATCTTCTGGCCTATTGTGCAATTCACCACCCGGATGCTATGGGTTGAGACAAGAATGGACTAGCCCCTCCAAATAAAGTGCTAATAAGATGAGCCTCTGGGATACAGGGAATGCATGCACCCTAATTAATATCCATTATATGGTACCATGGCGGAACATGTGGAGTATAAAGTCTTAGGAAACCAGAGGTGGAAATATGAATGACCCTATTTATCTACCCTCCCCTGTGTTCCTACAGTTCTAGGTAGGAACTCCAGTGTTCAGAGAATTTGGCTTCAGAGTGGGGAATAGCTCCCCAAGGGAACAGAATAAAATCCCCATAAAAAGTGCTGCTTTTTATCTAGAATCCTTGTGCAAAGAGACCAGTAAGCCAGACCAGGAGTCACTTGCTGGCAGGGGTAACTGACCCCTATCCTTTGGAATGCCATTAAGTAATGGAGAAGGAAACTGTATTTGGCATCTAGGGGGTCCCCGGGATGTCTCTTGGTGCCCCCTTGGCTGATTTTGATGGAAAACAGGTATGTGTAGCAGCACGGTTGGAGAGACAGCCCACCTAGACCAGTGGCAGTGCCCACTGAAGGTAAAGAGACTCAAAATGGTACAGAAAGGACAGGGACAGATAATGCATATCTGTTGTGACACCGAGATCAGACTGTGGCAGTGGGACCTCTAGCTCATCCCATTTACATTTGGTAAGTTTCCCAGAGAAAAAGGCCAACACTGTAAAGGAGTTGGTCCTGGTAGAATTAACTTGCTCTGGGAAGGGCGTGGTCCGAGCAGGGACACCGCAGGTGGACCCTCAATCTTGTCTTTAGGACTAAGTTGCCAGGAGTGTTGGCTGCTGAGGGCTCATGTCCGAGTTTCTCCCCAGACACTTCCTTCAGCTGCCAAACAGACCCCTCTCAAAGGTGCAAACCTTTCTTTATTCAGTAGGGGCTAAGTCAGTGGGATCCTAGCAACCCCAGGGCTCCCTGCCTTAGTCACTGTTCGTTACTGTAAAGGGACGCAATACCAAGGCAACTCTTATAAGGAAAGCATTTAATCAGAGGCTCGCTTACAGTTTCAGAGGGTAAGTCCGTTATCATCATGGTGGGAGGCTCGCTTACAGTTTCAGAGGGTAAGTCCGTTATCATCATGATGGGACATGGCAGCCCACATGGAGCTGGAGCAGGAGCTGAGAGCTTTACATCCTGATCCACAGGTAGGCAGGAAGACAGACAGACAGACAGACAGACAGATAGACAAACAGACAAAGAGTAGAGACAAAAAGACAAAAAGAGAGAGACAGAGACAGACACACTGGGCCTGGCGTGGGCCTTGGGAACCCCAAAGCCCACCCCCAGCAACACACTTCCTCCAACAAGAACACACCTACTCCAACAAGGCCACACCTCTCACTACTTCCAAATAGTTTGCCAGCTGAGGACCAAGCAGGCAAATATATGAACCCATCGGAACCAATCTCATTCAAATGACCACACTGCCTCTGGAGGCATTCTGGGTTGTGACCTCATCACCGATAAGTTCTTTTTCTGTTCCATCCTTACTTGTTTCCCACTTCGGAAATGCTTTCTCTGGAAGCACACCCCCAAACACTCCCAGCCCCAAAGTTCATCTCCAATTCTGGCCTTTGGGACCCAGAGAATAAGACTCTTCATATGAAGGTGGAGCTTCTAGACACTTGGGATTCCCATACTGGTCCAACAAAATGTTGCATACATCCTACATCCTAGCTGATCTCTACCAAATGCCCTCCAGTTAATGCATTTCCTTCAATAAAGCAACTTAGACAGAAATCCACAAGTATTTCAGGTGTGGCCTGATAATGCAGAGAATAATGGGGCAGAGTCTTCCTCGATTCTAGGACACTGACTGCTCCTGGCACCAAAGAGTGAAGAACTATAGAAATCCCAACCCTCTTACTGCCTTGTCTCTCCTTTCATTCTAGATCCTGATTCCAAGGGCCTGGGCGCAGCAGGGAATATGGAGCACCCTTTGGCAGGTGACTCTTAGGGAATTTCAAGATGGAGAATCCCTAGGCTCAGAGTCAGCTTCAATCCGGCAACTAAAGAGTGTCCGATTTTATTGGCAGCTCTGTCTTTGGACTCAGATGGAGCTGGCTGTCAGCAAAATCCCTGTTTTATTCACACATGCTTCTGCTAAGCCGACACTTCCCCACCCCGTCCCTGTTCAGCTGATGTCTTGGAGGCGAGCCTGGATCTCAGTGAAGCCCTTTCATCTCACCTTGTGGGTTTGGGGGGTGGGTGGTTGCTCCATGAGAGTAGACTGAGTCTGGTCCTCATTCTCCCAAATATTCCTGTAATGACTAGCTTCCTGCTAGTCACAGAACCCAGGAGGCTATGAATTCCTCGGATCCAAAAAAAAAAAAAAAAAAAGGTGGGTGGACCAAATTAGGAGTAAAGACAGAAAATCAATCATATCATACCTAGAACATTTCATATGTGTGATGCACTGTGCCCACTTAGAGACTGATATCTCATTGTGTGTATGAAAACTGGCCCTTCTCACAGATCTATAAACAGAGGCAGAAAGGCTAAGTGACCACGTCCAAAAAAACACATGTCATGTTTTCTCTGCCACCTGCAGCCCTTACCTTGAAGGTGACCATCTCTTGGAGACATGGGTGGCAAGGTTGGCCCTCCTGATTGGAAAGAGATTTTTAGAACTAGAGGAATCTGGACATGATGAAGTTTATTAGCTCACCAAGCCCAGCCATTTTGCTGAGAGTTCACAGCGAACATTTGCTACACTTGAGACTACCACCTAGGCTTCTTGAGCATGGACCAGGCAAGTCTGATCCAAAATGGCACTTCAAAAGGAAACACACGGTCAGGAGGGGGGGGGCCTACACCTTTGATCCCAGCACTGAGAAGCCAGAGGCAGGTGGATCTCTGTGAGTTCAAGGCCAGTCTGATCTACATAGTGAGTTCCAGGATGGCCAGGGCTATGCTGGGGTTACACAGAGAAATCCTATCTCAAAAACAACTTAAACAGAAACAAAAAACCATATTCGAGACTGTTCTTTTCCACTCTGAAGTCCTGGATGGTTCTCCTGTAGTCTAGAGCATTGGAAGGAGGGGACAAGCAACATCTTACTTCTAGAATTCTAGAGAACTTTTATTTATTCACTTATTTATTTTTGAGGCAGAGTCTTATTATGTAACAAGGCTGCCTTCAAACTTGTGGTCCTCCTGCTTCAGCTTCCTGCGTGTTAGGTTTGCAGGTATGTATCACTATGCCTGGCTACAGAGAACTTTTTTTTTTTTTAAAAGACAGAGCCTCAACTCTGTAGCCCAAACTGGCCACAAACTTGTGGTAATTTTCCTATCTCAGCCTTCTGAATTCTGAGGTTACAGACAGGAGCCGTACCAGCTTCGGGGGGCTCTTGAGTCTTCTTGGTTGTCAAAGTACCTTGGCACCGGCTCCGTCTTTGCCCCTGCCTCCACTCACACTCCACCTTCGGCACTGCAGTGGGCAGCCAGTGGAGGTCCAGCCGGTGCCCAGCTGGACAGAGCAATAACCCTGGGTCTCATCAGCTGTGGAGGCTGAGCTGAGCTGTTCATGGGAGGCTGCCGTTTGCTAATGATTTGAGCCCCAGTGCTCATAACTGCATGAATTCAGACAGCTTGGAGACAGCAGATTTCAAGACTGCAGCTTGGAGCATCTCTAATTCAACTTGCTCTGGGAAAGTGAGTCCAGCTCCTGATTCATGCAAACAGCAGTGTGTGTGTGTGTGTGTGTGTGAAGAGTAAGTCAGTGAAGACGTATGGAAAGAATAGCATGTATAAAATTGTTCTGGGGCCTAGAGAGATGGCTCAGAGGTTAAGAGCATTGACTGCTCTTCCAGAAGACCTGGGTTTAATTCCCAGCACCCACATGGCATCTCACAACCCAACACCCATGGCAAAACACCAATGCACATAAAATTGTCCCTTGGTATCAATGGGGTGTTAACTCTTGGACCCCCCCATACACACCAGAATCCAAAGACACCCCTTACAAAAGATGATATAGCTTTTGCATGTTGTCTACCACACCTTCCATATTCTTGAAGCCATGTCTCGATCACTTACGCCTGATACGATGTAAATGCCATGTAAGTAGTTGTTACCCTGCATTACTTAGAGAATAGTGACAAGAAAACATGTCTGCGTTTTCAGCGCAGATGCCGCATTTTACCTGATTTATCTTTTAATCTGTGGTTGGTTGACTCCACAGATGCAGGACCGGTGGATTCAGAGGCTAGCTGCACTGAGGAGGGATGGAAGAGGCTGGGCAGAGTGGTGCATGCCTGCACTTCCAGCACTGGAGAAACTGAGGCAGGAGGGGTGTCCTAGGTCAGGCTGTGAGTGCGGGAAGTCGGGACCTATCCTTGGGAGGCGGTTGTTGAGTTCCTTCCCCACAGCTCTCACATGTCAAATTCACATAGGATCACACATGGCACATGTATCAGCAGCCGTCTTGGAGTGGTTGCTTCTCCTGGGCCCACCCCTTTTCCCAGCAGGCTGGGGACGTCCCTGTAAGGTGGGATTATTCCCACTTTACAGATGAGAAAGATGAGGTGCAGAAGAAGGTAAGTATCACAAGACAAACCTACTTGGTAATTGGCTGGGTTCGTAGAGCAGTGTGTGAGAAACACATTCCAGAGGATGTACCAACTGATCCATCTCTGTCTCAGGAACAAGATAGCCATTGGCCCACAGCACACAGTGTGCCTCCCCGTTCCCGAATCCTGCTGCATCAGGTAGGAAAATGATCTACTTGGCAGGTAGCTCTCTGCGCCTAGAGATGAGTTCAGTGCAGAAGTTCACTACTGAACTTCTCTGGTGAGCAGATTGGAAATCCAGTCACCCCGTGAGTCCTGAGCCATACTGACAAGTGAACACGGAAAGTTCGGACCTACTAGCCCCCACCCCCACCCCGCACCCCTCCCCATGACAGCTGTTGAATATGAGCTCCTTCCCTGTCTGTAGCCCACAGCTCCCACAAGTCAAACTCAGCATCACAAATGACACAGATGTACCAGCGGCTTCCTGGAGTAGCTGATTCTCCGCCCCTTTCCCCGGGCGGCGGCTCGGCTTTCCAGTGCACCCAGCAGGGGGCATCCTTGTCCTTCCACTGTCCACCCTGGGGGCCGACTTGGCCTGCTGCCAGCAGCAGTGCCTTCCAATCAGCAATGCCCAAGAGTCAGCCCAAGGCCAACTCCCCAAACGTAGTCCTGTGACTTCCTTCTGCCACAGCTACTGCACTATTATTTACATTGTTTTACCCCCCTTTGTCAACTTAACATTTTTAAAAGCTTTAATGCCTTTTTGGCAGAGTCTCACTACATTGTCCAGTCTCTAGGTTGGCCTAGAGCTCCAGCCAGAGTTCTAGCAATCCTCTGGCCTCAGCCTTCCAACGAACTGTGGCTATGGGCATGCGCCACCATGCTGGGCAGCCTATGTGTATTTTTAAAAGAGGAAACCCCCTGTTCAATAAAGGTCTTTCAAGTGGCTTGCCATTCTTAGGGCTGGCATCAGGATTTGGTAGGAGCCTACAGGCCTCCATTGAAGCTACAGTTGGGAATCCCAGGACCTGTCCAGGGGATACCATGGATGGGTAAGGATATAAAACCTTTGTTCTGTGGGCTTAGGGCCTGAGATTGAAGGAGCAGAGTCCAGAAGTCTTTGAAGGAGGAACAGAAACACCCCTCCTCCCTTGCAGACTCTCTTCTAGGCCCATGGCTGTAGGCAAGACAGGAAGGGAGGAACTTGGATGTGGGGGCCAGATCCGTCGCAGGTGACAGGTGTAGGGTTTGGGGAAGGGACAGGGATTTCCCTTGCAAAATTCATTCAAACAGACAGGGATCCTGATCCCAGGGAGACAGGCAGATCTGCAGGGGCTCCCAGGAGGCCCCCAGGAAGGTCCAGCGCTAGAGGGAGTGGGTAGGAGAGACACTGAGGAAGGGGTTGGAGCACCTGTCACCTGTGGGAGTGTGGGAGCTGTGTCCTGGTGGCTCATTTAGGTCTTGCTCTAGGCTCCTGCCCCTCTGGTCTTAGAATTGCTTTTCTGGGACCATTTCTGAGCTAGCTTCCACTGAAGTGCTCACTACCTTTTGTTTGTTTGTTTTTGAGAGAGGCTCTCTTGTAGCTCAGGCTGGCTTGAACTCCTGATTCCCCCCTTCCACCTCCAAATGCTGGGACAACTGGCATGTGCCACAGCCCACAGTTTTACCTTAAATTCTCACTAAGGCTAACTAACTTGTCCATCTAGCCTGTTCCCCTGTGCCCACCCCCACTCTCCTGCATTGGCTCTCACCTGCAGAGGTGAGTAATTCCAGGGCAGGGGGAAGGCCTCACAGTTGTCAGGAGTGGCACAAAGACCCCTGATGTGACCTATTGCTGAAAGCTGGGGCCTCAGAGGGGAAGGAAACCATGGGTAGAGCTTCTAGCCTCCCCAGCTGGACTAAGAAATTCGATAAGAGTGGGTTAGGTAAGAGGAAGTGGCTGGGGCTAAGCCGGGCTGGAACTGAACCTCTGGGATAGATAGCGATATTGTAATTACCACAACACTCTGAACAGGGTCTAGAGCAGGGCTGCTTCTGCCTTTCAGAACCTCTTGCCCCCCGGGTCCCTGTGTGAAGTGGAGTACTCAAGGGAGGCTGGTGGCAAAGGGCTTCTCCAGGCTGTGTAGAGCGGTAATGATTTTTAGGCCTTCACTGAAAGGCTCAGAGGCCCAGAGAAGTGTCACCGGTGAGGGCCATATTGCTTCACCTGACCCTCATTTTCATTGGGAGGAAGCATTGAGAAAGATGAGCTGGGTGCTCAGGGAACTTTGCTTATTCAAAACACTCAATGCCAGCTGGGGCTTGGCCTGTCCCTGACTCCCATCTCCAGAGTGGACCCACCCTCTGAGGACAGAACCCCTGCTCTGTGGAGGACCCTTTTTCTAGAGAGCTCTTTGTGTTCCCGGTCCCTCATCCCAAGGCTCTGTAATGGCATCTCCTACTGTCCAACACCTCACATCACTCTCTTCCATCCACCCTTCAGGGTCAAATCTAAGCAGACTATCCTTGTAACAGAGGCCCTGGCCTCAGGACTTCTAGACCTCATGGCCCGCCCCTCAGTTCACAGCAGCCCAGAGAAGGAAGCCCAGAATAGGAAGTGCTGAGGCAGAGGGTGGGGAGGGACTCCCAGGAGAGGAGCCCAGCCCCTCCGGGCAGAAACAGCTATTGTAGCCCCCCACTTCAGACAGAGGAGGAGGCTGATTTACAAGGCAGATCGACTGGACCCCTGCCTGAGGCTATGAGTCCTGCGTCTAGCCTGTAGGCTATAAGAGCACCCCAACTTCCGGACCAGGGCTGGGCGGGTGCCATGTGAGCCCAGTCTAGCTTCCCCTCCTGTTCACCCGCCTTCCTTCCCTCCTCCTGTCTGCTGGTATCTGCCCAGCCTCTCCAAAGAGGGACACTTGACATCATGTCTCTGCTCAACCCTGTCCTGTTGCCCCCCAATGTGAAGGCGTATCTGAGTCAAGGAGAGCGCTTCATCAAGTGGGATGATGTGAGTAGGGACGGGCCCTGGGAGTGGCCGGTGCTGGGTAGCTCCCCGGTGCTTGGCAGAGCGGGTGGGTTGGTTTATGTCTCCCAGCACCCAGGCGCCTATGTGGCTTGGTTAGGCAGCTGGCACACAGCTAGATAAACAAGTCTGGGGTAAGGGTGCTTGTCCTTGGCTGCTGTGAGGAAGCCGGTGCGTCTGGGAATGAGGAGGTGGAGGTGGGCTGCGTGCATGTGTGTGTGGGGGGGGGGGGGCGCAGTATCAGAAAAGGTAATCTCTTTGGACTTGATTTGCCCTTTTCCAAATCCCTGAAGATGACAAAGGTTTGTTTCTAGTAGTTTCAGTGTTGGCAGGGGAAATGCATACCCCCCAGCTGAGATAGGGCAAGCAAACAAAAGAGGTCAGCCAGGCCCCCCTTCCCAGCACAGACATCCCCAAGTTTGCTCTGGCAGGAGACCCATAACCAGCTGGACCACCCCAGTCCACAGAACAAGATGCATCCTGTCCCAGGGAAGCCATGTTCTCCCTCGAGCTATGACTGTGGGGGCAGTCACGAAAGGGCTGGGGATCCAGTTGAAAACTGGAGGGAGGTTCAAGCTTCTGGGGCCTGGGAAGGAACCTGCTGACTTCTGCTTCCCCTTGGTGGTTCACCTCAGCTCAGCCTTCTACTTGCTACTACCTGCCAACCTGTCTGCCAGGAAGAACAGCACTGTACCCCAGTCCGAGGAGTCTGCTCCTTCCTAGACAGTCTCTGGTCCTTCTGGGCCCTGAAAACACTGCCCTTAACCACAGAATCTCTTGGTCTAGGAAGAATAAAATGAGGACTGTCCTTCAGGGAGGCTAGGCCTCCTTAAGAGAACTCTAGACTGGCCTTAGGAAGGCTTGGGGTTTCCAACAGCACATTGCATTCAGGAGGTTACCTACAAGTATTACTTCAGCTCCCTGAATTGGCTTGTCTTGTTTCTCTGGGCAACGAGGGGAGTCTGAGTCTAGACCCTTTGGGGCTACGCTAGGTCAACGCATCTGGCTGCCCAGACTGTGGGAGTGAGGCCCTGGGAGTAGATGCTTTCTGTTTTGGTTGGTGTGGCACGGTGCTAGCATGGTGGTGACACGGAGGTGATGGGCATGGTGGTGGCATGGAGGTGATGATGGGGCATGTCTTAGGAGCCCCTGGAAAGAGGGAAATGACTCACAGTGAAAACTGAAGTGGCTGCTCTCAGTTCCTCTGGGCAGTGTGTATAACCTGAGCGGGCAGTGGGTCACCCGAGGTAGACACGCTGTGTGGCTCTCTCTTCAACCTGTTGTTGACCCATTCACCTCCCCAAGCCAGAGCACTGTGTGATCCCTGGATCCTGACTCGCATGAGCAGGAATGTCCCAAGCCTGGTCACAGGACACGTGATCTATGAGCCAGGTTCTGCTCTTGGGCTGCTTTGGGTCGGGTTAGTAGGTGACAGGGATGTGTCCCACTATATTAATCACTGTAGTGCAAAGGATACAGCCAAAGCTGACTCTGTTTAGTCTCCCACAGCCCCTTTAAAACATCCTTAGAGGGAAAACCTCTCCTAGCTATGGGAAGAAACTCTGCAAGCTATCAGACATGACCTTCACCTTTGGACAATGGTCCCACAGTCCCCACAAAACCCAGTCCTGTTCTAGAAACAAGTTAGAAGTGAAACTCCAGCCTTGCTTCAGCATTGTGCTTTGCTGTCCTCCCAGGCCTAGGACAGGTGCAGGCTCCCGAGGAAGGGCCGATGGTGGTGTTCTCAGCTCTTTCTTTTCTAGGTCCTTCTAAGTGGGGCACAGGGAGGTGTGGCAGTTCATTCTTGAATACGTGCTGTCAACAGCTGGCTTGGAATTTCTAAGTCTGACAGACCTTAAAACCTATTCTTCCTCTGGTGGTCTTTTTGATGATTTTGGGGGACACCCTCCTTCCTGTCTTGGGGCTCACTTGCTTGAAATCTCCCAATGCCTCTATTCAGGGGATCACTCACAATTACTTCTTCAGCTCCCTGTTACTCCCAGTTTCTTCTTCCTGAAGCACTGGGCCCTTCGCCCATCATCCCTCACCCTTGAGTCCACTTTGGGTCCAGCAAATACTCACAAGTTCTGAGGATGCAGGCTCATCCCATACAGTCACACCATGCACTCAGAGGCAGCCTACCTGGCACCTGCTGAATTTCTGAGGCTGAATTCCCCTGGGGAGGAAAAAACCCAGAGCTCACTACACAGCTTTGCCCAAAATCAGGTTTTTTACACAATCTTCCCTGCTATGTTTTAATGACCTCTAACGCGGGAACCTTTTTGTATCATTTTCTTGGTAGATCCCATATTTGGTCCGGTGTGTCAGCAGCAATAATCATGTATTGTTGGAAACTTCAGTTGCAATATCTTGTTTATGTATGCAAAGACTATTAAAATAGAAGATGGCTTATGTACTCTGTGAGGAGAACAGGGATTTCGAAGGCCAGCTCACTCATTCATTCATGTACTTAATTCTGCAAACTCCAACCAAGTTCAAGGCTTACTGCCCCAGGGTCCTTGAGCTCACCAGGATTTCCCGGATGTGTTTCTATATCTGGGAACTGGTTCTTGACCACACCCCCCACATATTAATAACAACACATTTCAGGAAAGCCTTTTCTGAAGGGGTGAGGTGTGGGCTGGTCTTTGGAGACAGTTCAGGCTGAGGAGGTTTGAGTACTTCACTTTGGAGGTGGGAGGGAACTTGGTGTCTCTCTGGGTTATTTGGACGGGAGGGGTAGGCTGTGCTCACGGTTGGATGGCAGAGCTTCTGAGGAGCAGATCCGCTGCTGTGTGTGCAGGGCCTTGACTGTGCAGGTGACAACCCAGGCTCTCAGCTCTCACTGGCCAAGCTTTCCAGGATGGTAGCAAGGAATCTTGGAGAGGGATTCTGTCTTTTGATGGAGCCATGACCCTTGAGAACATGGAGAGGTAAAGAGGTATTGCTGGGGTCCAGAAAGTGTACCACCTCTCCTCCAGCAATTCCATCTCCCGTCCTCAAGGCCTCCCCCTGTTAGCTCAGAGAACAAAAGGTAATGTCTTCTAATTTCTAGGAAGGACATGGTCTCTGTCTGAGTCCTTGGCCTGGGCCAGGGAAGTTGGTCTGAGATCTCAGAGCAGAGAGATGACCCTTTCTCTCTGCAGGAAACTTCAATTGCCTCTCCAGTTATCCTCCGTGTGGACCCCAAGGGCTATTACTTATACTGGACATATCAGAGTAAGGTAAGACGCTACCCAACACGGCCCTTAGCTTCAACTGAACCAATGAACTCTGCTAGACCCCTGGTGGTATAGGATGGAGTCATGGATGTAGAGTAGAGACTGGCCTGGGAGAGAAGCCCCTGCGGCTCTCATGGGCCGGGGAGGGAAGCTGCAGTCACCTCCCTCCATGACTGCTTGGGCCTGCTCAGTCCTGAGTGTGTATCCCTTGGAGACAGCGGGAAAAGACGAGTCGGCTGAGCTGAAGGGCAATGATGTACCGGTGGCTCCAGGTCACATCAGAGCTCAACACTCAGAGGACAGGCTCAGCAGCCAGACAGAACAACAGAAGAAGGCCTGGGGGCTTCCAGGATGGAAGACAGGGTGCAGGTTGCAGCTCTTATCCCAGAGAAGGAATGGGCCAAGGAGTAAAGAGGATCCCCATTAATAGAAACTGAGGAGTAGAAAGTGAAGGGAGGGGTCCAGGTAGTCTTGGCATCCAGAGAAGGCAGCAGCTGGGACCAGAAGGGGTGTGGACGCTCTCCCCACTCTGACCATTGTGTCCCCACCCTTCTTTGCTCCCACTGGGAACTGGTACCAGGAGATGGAGTTTCTGGACATCACGAGCATCCGAGACACTCGCTTTGGCAAGTTTGCCAAGACGCCCAAGGTAGGTGGGCCCCGAAGCAGCCACCAGTTACAAAGAGCAAGGACCAAGTCTCTGCTGGGGTGGGGATCCCATCTGTGGGACCCGATGACTGGGTCCCGGGCTGCTAGACAGCAAGGATTCTAGCTCAGGCCCAGGAAGTGTGGTGTGGCGGCGGCTGCTCAGCTCGCCTGGGTTCTGAGCATGGGAACTGGTCACAGTGAGCCAAGAAGGCAGGAATGGAGGAGGAGGAGCTAATTCCTGCCCCTAAGCCTGCCAGACTGTCTGGGCAGTGTTTCTTCTACCCCTTGCTCCCCATTGCTTGGTGACTGCTTTGCCTACATTTACCTAAAGCTGGTAAAAAGATTAAAGTGATTGACAGTAGGAAGCAGGATCCCCGGAGTTAGGGGGCTAAGAATCTTTCTTCAAACGAAATTCCCAGGATTCCCAGGTCCCACTGCCTTAGCCAAGGTCTTCCTATGGGCCTCCCCTTCCAATGGCAGTTGCTGGAACCAGAGGCAGGGGGATACTGAGGCCTATGGTTCCTAGGTTCCGTGGCCATTCTGCCCCAGTGACCTGCAGTTCACGTGGCTGACAAGGAGATATAGGAAGTCATGTTGGGCAAGACTGAGGGTCAGCATTCCTCATGGTACCACTGCTTCTTACAGAGCCAGAAACTCCGGGAGGTCTTCAACATGGACTTTCCAGACAACCACTTCCTGCTGAAAGCACTCACCGTGGTGTCCGGCCCGGACATGGTGGACCTCACCTTCCACAACTTCGTCTCTTACAAGGAGAATGTGGGCAAGGTACACTGGCAACACCCGGGTAGTGTTGGCACTTGGGACAGCTTGACCTTTCCCCGAGAGTCATAGGCCTGGGCCGAGAGGCTCAGGGGCGCTTGTGGTCAGGAGCATGACCTCTAGGCTCTGTGTTCTGCAGGACTGGGCTGAGGATATACTGGCTCTCACCAAACACCCCATGACAGCCAACGCTCCCCGAAGCACTTTCCTAGACAAGATGTAAGTACCCCCACCCTGCCTGAGCTCAAGAGGGGTTTGCTTACCAGCCCACAGCCTGATGGGCTACTTACCGTCCATCCCCTCAGCCTGGTGAAGCTTAAGATGCAGCTCAACCCTGAAGGGAAGATCCCTGTGAAGAAGTGAGTCTCTTGAGTTTCCTCTGAGCTGCCTCCCAGCTCCCTGAGCCTTCCCTGCCTAGGCATGACTCTTCTGCTGCCTGGTCCTTTTCTTTGCTCCCTCAGTTTTTTCCAGATGTTTCCTGCTGATCGCAAACGAGTAGAAGCTGCCCTCAGTGCTTGTCACCTTGCAAAAGGCAAGGTGAGTCGTTCTCCTCTCCCCAGTCAACTCTACTAAGTCTCACTCCCACCAGAAGAAAAAAGAAAAAAAAACATGGCCGGGGATAGCGACGGATGGGGCGAGCCAAAATGACATCACTAGCCCATCAATAGCTCCCAAAGCCAATTAACCCAGAACCTCTGGTTACACTAGGCATAAAGGGTGGGCCCAAGGCAAGGGGGTGCGTGCAGTGCTGGAGCTGGAGCCGCAAGGCCTGCCTCCAGTAGTGCTAGGGGCAGTGTTGGGGAGGAGAACAGCAGATGAGGCAAGCCTTCCTATCCTAGCCTTGGGAACATTGTCGGGGAGCAAGACAGGGTCAGCAGGGACAGGAGACAGGCCATGGGATCTGACAGTTCCAGGAAGGCACCAGTTCTCCTGGGTGTTAGGGGGAAGAGCAGGGCCAAGGGGGGGAAGCTGCCAGGGCACAGACTTCGGCTCGATTGGGAAGCACATTTTCCACTTCTTTTTAATTAAGCAATTAATTTTTAATTACAAGTCAGATGGAGGGTCACCCCATGAGACGTCTTATGTGATTTACCAAAAAAAGAGCTCTCTGGGTAGATACGGCCCATAGCCAAGGCTCAAGCCTGGCTGGGGGAGTGGTGTTAGTCCTAAAGCCCTTGTCCACCTCGGCCAGCGTCCTTGTGTAGTTACAACCCTCCCCCGTGAAACATTTCTCCTGGTAAGAATCTAGAACAGTAGAAATGAGTAAAACTGAGACTGTAAGCATCCATCCTTATGAGCCACGTGAGGAATGCCCCCTTATAGGCCCAGTTTCTACAGCACTGGTGACCCCACGTGCAGCCGAGGCAGAGGAGAAGGTGGGCTGGGCTCCTGAGGTGGTCCTTATGGTTTGTACTGCTTGTCTGCTTCCAGTGACACCCAGCCACCTTCTCTCCTGAGCTCCCATTCCTGGCTGTGTCCTCCTTATTGGTCTGTTTCCCTTGTATCCCAATAGAGGCCACTGACCAGCTTCGGAGGCAGAGCTGGGCTGGGGGAGACCCTCACCTCCAGTTAAAACTCAGGTTGATTTTCCAGTGCGATCCTGAGTGGTATTTAATGTTTGTTTTGTTTTCCGGAGGAACACAATGAAAAGCACAGGATACTTACTTTCCATTTCTAGTTCTATAGATTCACCTACTCTGGACATTTTACGTAAAGGGACTTATGCAGTCTGTGGTCTTGACGTTGGGCTTTATTCACTCAACATAGGGTTTTTAAGATTCATCTACGTGGTAGCATCAGCGTTTCATTTTTTTTTTTATATTGCGGTATCATAGTCTATGTTGACAGATACTTGGCTTCTCTCCACTTTCTGACTGCTGTGAATAATGCCTCTATAAGCATTTTGTCATGATTCTGCTTTCAGCCTTCTTGGATATATACATTCAGGTGAAATTGGTGACTATATTTACCATTTTTGAGGGACGGACGAACTGTTATCTGGAGTGGCTGCATCATTTGACTCTCCTACCAGCATTGAAGAAGGGTTTCAATGTCCCTACACCCCACCAGCAGCACTGCTGCCCGCCATGGTTGATGCTATCCTAGTGGGGATGAAATGATATCTCATTGTGATTATAATTTGTATTTATCTAATAACCAATAATGTATGGACATCTTTTCATGTACTTATTGATCGTTTCTACATCTCCTTTGCAGACACATCAATTCAAATTCATTGTCTATCTCTCATTTGAATTTTTTGTATGTATGTGTGTTTATGGTGTGTGTGTGTGTGTGTGTGTGTGTGTGTGTGTGTGTGAGAGAGAGAGAGAGAGAGAGAGAGAGAGAGAGAGGAGAGAGAGAGAGAGAGAGAGAGAGAGAGAGAGAGAGAGAGAGAGAGAGAGAGAGGAGAGAGAGAGAGAGAGAGAGAGAGAGAGAGGGAGAAAGAGAGAGTTTGTACATGTGTGGAGACTGAGGCCAATGTCAGGTGTCCCTCTAAATCACTCTCCATCTTACTTTTTAAAGGTTTGTTTATCTTTCAAATTATGTTTCTGTGTCTGTGTGAGGATATACACCTGGAAGTGCAGGTGCCCGCAGAGGCCAGAGGCATCAGATCCCCCTAGAGCTGGAATTTCGGGCAGCTGTGAACTGTCTGGTGTGGGTGCCTGGAATCGAACTCAGGTCCTCTGTAAGATTGATATTGGCCCTTATCCACTGAGCCGTCTCTCCAACTTCCATCTTATTTTTTGAAGAGCATTCATTGACCCTGGAGCTCATGTTTGGCTAGCTGGCAATGAACTTCAGGGATCTGTCCACTCCTGACCCTGGGGCCACAGACACACACACACTGAGACCAGCATTTATGTGGGTGCTGGGATCTGAACTCAGGGCCTCAGGCTTGCTCAGCAGGGGCTTGAACAGCCAATCCATCCCCCATCCTTTGGGTTATCTTTTGGTTGTTGAATTACCACTTAACAGACAATTGATTTGTAAATATTATCTCATTCTGTGGATTATCTATCCTTCTCTCTCTCTTCCTCCCTCCCCCCCTCTCTCCCTTCCTTTATTCCTTAGCTCACTTAGAAACTGAATACCCTTCAGTTTCTTGATGGCGTCCTTATAAGCATACATACTTTAGATTTTGATGAAGTCTGATTTTTATCTCTTTGTGTATGTCTCTTTTGTTTTTTTCCAAATTATTTGTGTTTTGTTTGTGTGTTTGTTTGTTTGATGTGTGTGTGTGTGTGTGTGTGTGTGTGTGTGTGTGTGTGTGGTGGTGGTGGTGGTGGTGGTGGTGGTGTATACTGTGTCTTGTGCATATTAGGCAAATACTCTGTTACTGTTGAACTGCTTTATTTCTCTCCAAGTCAGGTTTTACCTCTCATATTTCAGGGTTCTGCTGTCAGGTGCATAGTTGTCTACATTCAAACAGTTTCTTTAGATAATTTGTTCTTCACTTAGAAGGAAAAAAAGAAATGAGAGTCCAGTACTCAGGCCGGAAAGCAGCGCCCCTTGCTTCTGACATTTTACCCTCTTTAAGCTCATGCTGTTCCAATCCTGTTCCAGCTACAGAACTAGCTACTGTCCAAAATCCTCATCAAAGCAAGCCCGCTATCTGGTGCTGCAGTCAGATGACAAGGCCCTTGAGATGCGTGTGCCCACGTGCCTGTCTGCCTTAAGGACTCTCTCTGATCAGGCCACCTTTCCCAGAGCTGGGGACAGGTTGTGCTGAGTCTTAGCTCTGAGCAGGCGAGATAAAGGGTAACAAGGTGGTTCTTCCAGAATGATGCCATCAATCCCGAGGACTTCCCAGAGTCTGTGTACAAGAGCTTCCTCATGAGTCTCTGTCCTCGGCCAGAAATTGACGAGATCTTCACTTCTTAGTGAGTTCCTTGGGCTGGGCATGGAGTGGTGGTAAGGGAGGCAGTTCCTTCCTTCCACCCAGCCTTTTGGGAATCACAAGGTTGGACAAGAGAGGAAGGCAGTCCAAGCCTTCAGGTTCAAAGACTGCATCTGTGCCCCCCTCCCCCGGCCTGCAGCCACGCTAAAGCTAAACCCTACATGACCAAGGAGCACCTGACCAAATTCATCAATCAGAAGCAGCGAGACGCTCGGCTCAACTCCCTGCTGTTCCCGCCCGCCCGGCCCGAGCAGGTGCAGACTCTCATCGACAAGTACGAACCCAGCGGCATCAATGTGCAGAGGGGTGAGAACCGAGGAGCCCCCCGCTTCCTGCCGTCTCGTCCCTCCCTGGGAGCCGAGGTGCAGCCGTGACCTGCCTGCTACCCACTGTCTCGCAGGCCAGCTGTCACCAGAGGGCATGGTCTGGTTTCTCTGCGGACCAGAGAACAGTGTGCTAGCCCACAATACACTGCTGCTCCACCACGACATGACCCAGCCACTGAATCACTACTTCATCAACTCCTCACACAACACCTACCTGACAGGTGGGTCCCGGAAACCCCGTGTCTGTCCATCCTCTCCTGGACCCTGGATTCTCACAGGACAGACTATGAGGTTGTGAGGGGACTAGCCTGGCTGTGAGTGACATCTTTCCCCTTCTCTCCACCGGCCCAGCTGGCCAGTTTTCTGGCCCTTCCTCGGCTGAGATGTACCGCCAGGTGCTCCTGTCTGGCTGCCGTTGTGTGGAGTTAGACTGTTGGAAGGGGAAGCCCCCCGATGAGGAGCCCATTATCACCCATGGCTTCACCATGACCACAGATATCTTGTTCAAGGTGGGTCTTGGGGTATGGAGACTGAGTACAATGGTCACCAGAAAGGGGCTGAGGAGAGGCTTTCTGAAGTTAGGGGAGTGAAGCTGGAGGGGAGAAATTTCTGGAATGCCTCAAGCTGCTTGGAGGCTACTGTGGCTATCTAGTTTCATGCCTATGCTGAAGCTAAGTAGTGGGGAGAGGCACCGTGGGGAGGGGCACCTTGGGGAGGGGCTACCCTCTTTACAGTGTTCCTTTCTCCTCTAGGAAGCAATCGAAGCCATTGCAGAAAGTGCCTTTAAGACCTCCCCCTATCCTGTCATCTTGTCGTTTGAAAACCACGTGGACTCGTGCGTATCCAGGACTACCCAGCCTCACTCTCTACCTGCACCCCAGCCTCTGGCCTGAACCCCACTCACACACATGCACTGTCCCTGGCCTCTAGTCCGTCATTGAGTTCTCTGGTCTCAATACAGCCTCCTTGGGACCTCAGCTTCTCCTTCCTGTGTTCCTACCTCCCCCACTTCCTGGACCTCTGATCTGGGCCATCAGGGCACAAAAGATGGGCAGGAGAGTTGGTGCTAAGCAATTAACCCCTTCCTTTTGTTCGCTGCTACCAGACCCCGCCAACAGGCTAAGATGGCCGAGTACTGCAGGAGTATGTTTGGAGAAACCCTGCTCACAGATCCCCTGGAAAAATTCCCTGTGAGTGCAGTCTTGTGGGGCATCTGGACCTGGGGAAAGGTGGAACCCGGTTAGAAGGGCAGAGATACTTGAGTTCCTTTGGTTGGATTGTGAGTCTGGGTTCCTGTCACCTATCCCGTGTCAGAGAGTGTGCTAGAATTAGGGGTCTCCTAGTGATGGAATTTATCTGTAATCCCAGCACTTGAGAGGCTGAGGCAGGAAGCTCTCAAGTTTCATGCCAACCAGAGCTGCATAGTGAGACCCTATCTAACACGATCAAACAAACAAAACAAAACAAACCTAAATTCCACAGTTGCTGTCCCAGGTTTCTGACCCTCTTCATGAGGAGATGGACAAGCATCCAGGCCAAGTACAGCCAGCGGTTGCTATGGGAAACAGTGCTCGAGAGTTAGAGGATCAGGGAAGGCTTCCTGGAGGGATGCGGTGGTTAAGGTGAAATCTGGAAGATGACAAAGACTCAGTGAGCATGGGAAAAGCACCTTCTAGTCAGAAGGATCGGGTGAAAGAGACATTACTGCCCAGGATCAGGTAATTTTGGTCAAGTGGGAATTGAAGACACAAGAGGCAATGGCGGGAAGCGAGGCGACAGACATAGGCCCACACCAGAGGGGCACAGCTTGGCGTAGGGAGCACACACCACAGAAGAAGCAATGGTGCCCACTTTCCCCCTTTCTGCAGCTGAAGCCTGGCATCCCTCTGCCCAGCCCTGAGGACCTCCGGGGCAAGATCCTCATTAAGAATAAGAAGAACCAGTTTTCTGGGCCAGCATCCCCCAGCTTCCCTGGTGGGCAGAAACCTGGTGAGGAGGCCGAGGGCAGCTGCCCGTCTAGTGTCCCCACTGAGGACACAGGTGAGTGAGCAACAAGAATGGGGTGGGGTTTGGGGAGAGCCAGTGCTGACAAAACTCTGTGTGTCAGTGTGGACTGCTGAGGACCGGACTGAGGTGGAGGAGGAGGTGGTGGAGGAGGAGGAAGAGGAGGAGTCAGGAAACCTGGACGAAGAAGAGATAAAGAAGATGCAGTCGGACGAGGTGTGTGGGGACAGTCCCTCTGCCGTCTCCCTTGTGGTTCCGTCTGGGTGGACATGGGGACTGCCATCTGAGCTCTGTCCTGTTCCTTTCTTCACTCTCCCGTTCAATCTCTAGGGTACAGCAGGCTTGGAGGTGACAGCTTATGAGGAAATGTCCAGCCTTGTCAATTACATCCAGCCCACCAAGTTCATCTCCTTCGAGTTCTCCGCACGTATGTGTGTTAGTACAGGGAGGTGGGGGAGGAGAAGGCAGGCTGGGCTCAGGAGAAAGCTGCCCTCATTCAAGAGTGGCCTGGTGAGTGGCATGAAAGGAGGGGAGACCTGCCCCTCCTTGCACTAAGGTCCTTGTCCATAAATACTCAGTCGAGGAGTCAGGCAAACGACTTGTTTAAGTGGCAGTGGCTCCCAGCATTGGACTGAAGAACTTGGCAGCAAATGGAATGTTCTGGAGTGTGTCAGTGACAGGCAGGTCGCTATGACAGGCCACCTCATCCAGGCCTGTCTGGGGCTTCTGGAGTTTCCTAAAGTTTTGCAGCTCCCAGGCCTGAGTTATATTAAGTGCTGCCCCCAGGCTAGGAGCCCCAGTCCTGGAGGTAAGAGTTCCTGGGAGAGCATGCCTTTAACCCCAGCACTGGGGAGGAAGAGAGTGGGTGTCTGAAATAGGAACTACATAGTGAGTTTCAGAACAGCCAGGACTCCACATAGAGAAACCTTGTCCAAAGAGAGAGTGGGGTTTCCAGGAGGGGGTGGAAGCTTACTTACCCCATTGGATCCTTCCTGCTGTTTGCCCTGGTCTTTTCAGGGTGCACTCAAGTGCATTCCCCACTCTCCAGTGTGTCCCCCCAACACGAGCAGTTCAGTCCCTTTCTGAACTCTCTTGTGCACTTGATCTCTGCAACACTGACTGACAATGCCTGACCTCACAACCGGTTCTGCTACCTGGGCACGCCCAGAATGTGCTTTGGAGGGCATGGGGTACTGCCCTTAGCATATGGCTGTCCCTCTGTGCACTAGCTAATTTCTTACACATTTCATTTCCTGTATATGTCACTGCCTGGGATCCTTGAGGCTTCACCAGCCAAATCCCCTCGTTGGGGGCATGCAGGAAGGCCCGGGGTCCTTGACGAAAATGGCCTTGGCCAGCACTTACACTCAATCACAAACAGCGTATGACTTTGTGTGTCCCAGGGGCGTGCACGTGGACTCTTTCAGCTACACACCCCAGCTATTCTTTCACTAGGTGTACATACCACATGTTCCTGATACCCCGGACTCAGCCTCATGTGTCCCCCACACCCTCCATGTCCATCCATGGCACATAGCCCTCACTCTCTAGGACCGCAGTGCAGGCTCTCTCCCTCTGCATGTCCACTTTGAAGTCCCTTTGCCCCAGCACACATATCCCTCTCAAATCTGACCACTAAAACCCGAGACCACAACAGAACCCTGGATCGGAAGCACTGCTCTCTGGAGGAAGGTGCCACAAAAGGAGGGCAGGGCTGAGACAGAGGGCAGCCTGGTGTGGAGTTCCGAACCTCCCTTTCTCCCTTGCTCAGAGAAGAACAGAAGTTACGTCATCTCCTCCTTCACGGAGCTCAAGGCCTATGAGCTGCTCTCTAAGGCCTCGATGCAGTTTGTGGAGTATCCTTGAGGCTTCACTAACCAAGGCCCCTGGTGGGATGGGACTTGGGAGGGGGGCCTGGGGTCCAGCTCGTGCAAGGGGCCTTGGCCAGATCCTATACCCAGCAACAGCTACAATAAACGCCAGATGAGCCGAGTGTACCCCAAGGGCACACGCATGGACTCTTCCAACTACATGCCCCAGATGTTCTGGAATGCTGGATGCCAGATGGTTGCCCTCAATTTCCAAACAATGGGTAAGAACCCTCCCCTGGGCCCTGCCTATCCTATCTTTACCCCTCCCTGGGGAATCTTTGGTGCATACGAGCTGTGGCGTTTGTGTAGGGCTCCGGGAGCATGTCTTGGTATGTGAACACTTTGGGGAGGGGAGCATTTCCTCACGCCTGTTCAGCTGCTCATATATCAGAACACACGTAAGACACCAAGGCTGGCCTGGGTTCTGGCTGCTCGGTTTGGTTGTGTTTTTGGAAACACCTGTGCCAGCTGTCCCAGGTCCACTGTGAATTTGCAGCTCAGTCATACCACTGTTCCTTGCTGACTCGAGGCTGAGGACCTTTCCTGAGAGGCTAGATACCCCAAGGACCTGGGATGGGACACGAGAAACTCTCGCCCTCATGATCTACCCAAATCTCCCCATTCCCAAGGCAAGAGAGGCTTGAAAGTATTGAAAAGAGACTGAGAATGGATTTAGGCGACATCATCCTCACTGCGTCCTCTCCCACCCCCAGACCTGCCAATGCAGCAGAACATGGCACTGTTTGAGTTCAACGGGCAGAGTGGATACCTCCTGAAGCATGAGTTCATGCGCAGGCTGGACAAGCAGTTCAACCCCTTCTCAGTGGACCGCATTGATGTGGTGGTAGCCACCACCCTTTCCATCACGGCAAGGCCCAGGGCTGACAAGCCGGGAGGGCTGGGCTCTTGAGAAGGAGGGCCGAGAAGCCCACTGCTCTGCCCCAACCCCCTTCCCTGATATCCTGAAGACTTCAGCCCCAGCCAGTTCGTGCAGTAGCAAGTTGCCTTGGAAACTGCCTCCTCCTCAGCACAGGAGTCTGCCTCTTAGTCCCCATGGAAACCAAGGGGAAGGGCTGAGGCTCCGGTGGGGGAGGGGAGAGGGACTAGTCCATGCTGGGCAGTGGGAGCCCAGGCTCCAGTTGTTGCTCCCTTCTTGTCTGAGGAGAAATGTGGGTGACCCGCCTCTCCCCTGAGTGCCGGAAGCACCCAGGTCCTTAGAGCTTGGCTGTAAATCTTGAGCCACACAGCCTCTATTTGATGGCTAGTGTTGAAAGGGATTTTCTTAATACCCACGATAGATACTTAGCCCTGTGGAGACAAAGGCCCTATGGGCTTAGGAACCAGCCTAAGTGGGATATCTAATGCTGGCCCCCCTTGGGTCCTCACCCTTAGGTGATCTCTGGGCAGTTCCTGTCAGAGCGCAGTGTTCGCACCTATGTGGAAGTGGAACTCTTCGGCCTCCCAGGGGACCCCAAGAGGCGCTATCGCACCAAGCTGTCACCTACTACTAACTCCATCAATCCTGTCTGGAAAGAGGAGCCCTTTGTCTTTGAGAAGGTGCTAGGGATGGGGCTGGCGTTGGGGTCTGTCCCTGGTTCTTGACCTCTGCTTACAGACGAGAGGAAACAATGGGAGAGGGGCTCCTAGACCTACCATTCCCTCCCTCTGGCCCTCATCTATTACTTTCTGACTTTCAGAGGTCCCAAACTCAAGTTCATTAGGGGTGTGTGTGTGTGTGTGTGTGTGTGTGTGTGTGTGTGTGTGTGTGTGTGTGTGAGAGAGAGAGAGAGAGAGAGAGAGAGAGAGAGAGAGAGAGAGAGAGAGAGAGAGAGAGAGAGAGCACATTAGGATTAGGGATGGAAACATGAACTCCCTGATCAGGTAAGGGGATGGTGGGATTCTTTTGTCTCCTTGGACACTGGTTGGAAAGCTGCCAAGGGCCATTTGCATGGGACTCACTGTCCTGGGCGCACATCTAGCCTTTTCCCCCATGTGAGCCTGGCACAAACTGTAAGATGCCTGTATGTGCCATAGGGCATGCCTTCTGCCTATCCTCACCAAATCTGGTAAGTCTGCCAGGCTCTTACTCTGGCACAGAGACTTCTGGAGACAGGGGAGGGGCAGCTTGGCTCCCCCATGTCCACTCCTCAGCCTTTCCTGTGCTAAACTCCCTCCAGATCTTGATGCCTGAGCTGGCCTCCCTCAGGATAGCTGTGATGGAAGAAGGCAACAGATTCCTTGGGCACCGAATCATCCCCATCAATGCCTTACACTCTGGTAAGGAGTGGGCTGGCTTCTTAACTACTTGCAGAGAGTCTGAGTCCGAGACCAGCATCCTGCCTAGAGGTGAGGGAACTTCCGACAGGGTCTTTGAGGCCTCACCAGCTTATCTAAGGAGTGGGACAGGAATAGACTTTCTCCGGGAACCTGACCTGTGGGAACTCTGCCCACCGAACAGAATGCCCATGATTTTCTGGACTCACTGTTACAGATTCCTGAGCAGCTGGCATCCATGGGTACTCCGAATGTGTGAGAGGAGCTGGGGAGATGGCTCAGCGGGCAGAGACACTTGCTGCTAAGCCTACTGATCTGAGTTTGACCCTAGGCCCCACATGGTGAAAGGAGGGAACTTGTTCTCACAAGCTGTCCTCTGACCCCTGCATGCACATGTACACGCGTGCTCACACCAAGTAAATACATAAAAATGTAATAAGACTGTGTGAGGAGCTTAAAACACATTCTCATAACAAACACACGAGGCAGATAGATGAGGAGAGACCTGGAGAGATAGCCTAACCCGCCCAAAGTCACATAGTAAGGAAGCAGAGCATTATACTTAAGACCCTGGCCGGTGACTCTAAAGGCAGGCATCCGAAGTGCTGTTTGTGTGTAGACCTGGGCAGGAATGGGCTCTGGCTTACCATTTCCATCTGCCTCATCGTGTTCAACAGGATACCACCACTTGTGCCTGCGCAGTGAGAGCAACATGCCTCTTACCATGCCCGCCCTCTTCGTCTTCCTGGAGATGAAGGACTATGTACCCGACACGTGGGCAGGTAGGAGACCTGAGGCATGCCAGGAGCCCCAGACTGCCCATTCCCTTTCCTTCACTAAGCCAGTATCTGAAGTGGAACAAGAAAAGGATGGTAGGTGGACCCTTCCAGGCCCAACTTCACACATACCAGGCTGGTCACGTCTTGTGCTTCCCAGATCTTACTGTGGCTCTCGCCAACCCCATCAAGTACTTCAATGCCCATGATAAGAAGTCTATGAAGCTCAAGGAGGTGACAGGAAGTCTGCCTGAGGTCTGTGTCACCTGGACTACTGCCAAAAACCTCCAAGAGCTGTGGAATGAGTGGGGAGGGGCAGAGTTTCCTGCTCAGGGAAAATGGTGTTAGAGCCACCTTTCTAACGGGCTGTCTTCACACAGAAGCCCTTCTCATCCGGGATTCCTATTGCCAGCCAGTCCAATGGAGCATCAGTCCCAGCAGGCAACGGGTCAACAGGTAGGTCTTCCTGGGTCCACCTGCCTAGTGTATAGCTCTCCGCCTCTCCCACCACACCCATAGTCCCCCAGAGACTAACAATTTCATCTAGGAAGAGAAGATCCGGGTCTGAAGCTTCAGCACGAGAAAGGGTTATTTGCAGAGGGCTCAAACTGCCACCCTGCAGAGAACCAAACTGAGGTGCCTCCAAGGCACCTGGCAGTCCAGTCCTGTGCTCTTACAGCACCTGGGGCCAAGGCCAAGGAGGACGCTAAGAAAGAAGTGGCAGATAAGGCCTGCTGAGCCCTGTGATCTGGGCACAGGATCTGGAGAGAGGGCCTGGAACTATGGGAAGCCAGCAGGGCAGGAAAGACGCTCTGGGCGGCTTGACGCCTTAGCCATGCCTCTTCAGAGCCACAGACCACCAGCTTGGAGGAGCTGCAGGAGCTGAAGGGCGTGGTGAAGCTGCAGCGGAGACATGAGAAGGAGCTTCGAGAGTTGGAGCGGCGTGGAGCCAGGCGCTGGGAAGAGCTGCTGCAGCGTGGCACCGCACAGCTGGCAGAACTCGGGGCTCCAGCAGCTGGCTGCAAGCTCCGCCCGGGCAAGGGCTCCCGCAAGAAGAGGTAAGGGAGTCAGCGGTGTCCTGCCCTCCCCCAGAGTGTTGGCGCCTGGCTCAGGGCCTGTTCCCACGTGGCTTCCTCCGCAGGACCCTGCCCTGTGAGGAGACTGTCGGGGTGGCGCCTAACGAGCTTCCCGAGGGTGCAGACCCGCGCGTGCAGGAGCTGAAGAACAGGCTGGAGCAGGAGCTGCAGCAGCAAGGCGAGGAGCAGTACCTCTCTGTCCTCAAGCGCAAGGAGCAGCACGTGACCGAGGTCTGGGACGCGGCAGCCACCAACCCCACCCCTCCTGCGCGGCCAGAGGCTGCTCGCTAAGCCTGCCCTTCCTCCTTCGCAGCAAATCGCCAAGATGATGGAGCTGGCCAGAGAGAGACAGGCGGCTGAACTCAAGACCTTCAAGGAGACCTCAGAAACGTGAGAGGGCCTCCCTTGGCTGCCTGTTCCTATCTCCGGGCAAAGGCCCCAGCTCACAGGACATCTCCTTCTCCCTGTCTCCCCTCAGTGACACCAAAGAGATGAAGAAAAAACTGGAGGCCAAGAGGCTGGAACGGATCCAAGCCATGACCAAAGTCACCACAGACAAGGTGGCCCAGGAGAGGTAAACCCTGAAGGGGAGGCCCAGCTGAGCAGGCCCCACTCCAGCTGGAAGAGGGTCTTCCTACAAGGGATCCTAACTCGTCTCCCACGGCTCTTCCCGCTCTCTTGGCCCCTAACGAGTTGGTCCCACGGCTGTATCTCTCCGAGTCTCCCTTGAGCCAAACACAGTTGCCCACACTGCTTAAGCAGAGAGGAGCAATGGAGGGAAACCATGGAGAGAGAGAGAGAGAGAGAGAGAGAGAGAGAGAGAGAGAGAGAGAGAGAGAGAGAGAGAGAGAGAGAGAGAGCGCTGGGGATAGCAGCCTGTCCACTTAGACGTCTGTGCTCCCCACCTGGGCCCACCCTGGCTGCCTTTAAGTCAGCGTGTTTTAGTGAGGAAGTAGGTAGGCCCCAGGGCTCCCAGAGCCCCCTCTCCATCTTCCAAGTTGGTCTCTCTGCTCGGTGCTGCTTCAACAAGTTCTTATTTGTGGAGCCCTTAGGACTCTGCCCCCTCCCCAAGTTCCTTTGTAAAACCCCAATTATATCCACAGGCTCAAGAGAGAGATTAACAACTCCCACATCCAGGAAGTGGTGCAGGCTATCAAGCAGGTATGCGGGGCTGTGTCCTTCCCACAGGCGTGCGTGCGTGCGTGCGTGCGTGCGTGCGTGGGTAGGTATGTGGATGTCCTTCCTTTCAGCCCTTACGGCATGCTGTCCAGAAGTGCCGTATATGCGGCCTGGAGTGGGAGGAAGTACTCAGGCCTGTGTGAAGGGAACTGTCTGGGAAACACGAGTTAGCCGGTCATGGAAGAATGGGATCGGATGGGGTGGGTGAGGAAGGCTCCCCGAGGTGCCATGGAATGGAAAGGGGAAGGAAAGCCCCACTGAGAATGGCCCTAAAGCTCCTTCCCTGGGCCTTGCTGACCACAGCAACAGGCCTGGCACCTGCTGTGGCCTGACCTTGTATCAGGCAGGACGCCCCGAGTGCTTCCTGTGAGCTGTCACGTGTAATCACCCTTCCCAATCTCTTGGGCCAAGTCCTATCACCTCATTTTACAAATTGCAGAGAAACTGCCCAGAGGTTAAGGAATTTGCCCCAAGTCTCACTGCTGGCTGGCTGAGATTAGAGCTGGATTCCTAGCTAGCCTGCACTGTTCAGATTCTCAGCCTCTCACCCCTACCCAGATGACGGAGACCCTGGAGCGGCACCAGGAGAAGCTGGAAGGGAAGCAGACAGCCTGCCTGGAGCAGATACGGGAGCTGGAAAAGCAGGTGAGAAGATCTCGGTCCTGGCCCCAGTGGAGCCAAATGAGCTCGAGGGTGGGAAGGGGCCCAACCCCCCAGGGCTCTGGGCAAGAGGTCAGGGAAGGGGACCATCACATCCGACCAGGGGGTCACAGGCAGGTTCTCATGGTGTCCCGGAGGCACTTTCAAATGAGACATCTCTGTAGATTTCTTTGTTTGACCTTTCTCCTGGGAGGTTCTCTGATGGGCTTCACTACCCCCATCTACTCCAGTCTCCTGGGAGCTCTGACTAGACTAAGCATCTTAGTTTTTCATAGTCCAGAGTTGGGAATGGATTGGCAGGGCTCCTTCCTAACCCAGGTAGTGACCCCCTGCTGTCCCTACAGTTCCAGGAGAAGGCGCTGGCTGAGTATGAGGCCAGGATGAAGGGCCTGGAGACGGAAGTAAAGGAATCAGTGAGGGCTTGCTTCAAGGCCTGCTTCCCCACTGAAACAGAGGACAGGCCTGAGGGGGCCTGCGAGGCCTCCAAAGAGTTGTGTCCACAGGAACCACTCATGACCAAAGCAGACACCCAGGAGAGCCGCCTCTGATGCCACCATCCTCACTCAGACATTTTAGCAAGTATAGTCACACCCTTCTCTGGAACATGGTTCTATTCCCTAGAAGAGAAGAACCCTGCTACTCGGGGGCTGTGGGAGCCTGTGTCTTCCTTGGATGCTCCAGGAAAAGGCAGGAAGAAGAGACCACCAGGGTGAAGAACCCACTTGGAACCCACGTCTTTTTCTAAGCTGGCTTCTTCTGTCATCGAAGGCAAAGGAGTACGGACCGAGAGAGAGGAGATTGGGTTCTGGTCTTCCCTCTGCCTTTCCTAGTGGGCAACTAACAGCTCTTCACTTGGAGCTCCCTTTCTGGAGGCTTGCCTTTGCTCCCCAGAACCTTGATGTTTCTACGTGGGGCCCCCGTAGAACCAAATCCAAGCCCTCCTGCCTTGATGTAGGGGCTTCCAGGCCACATCTCAGGTCTCCTTGAGTACAGAGTGTACTCTGAGTAAGGAGTGCCATCTCCTTAAGGCAGAGCCTGGTAAAGCCTCAAAGTTCTCTGGGGATAGCTACTTCCAGAATGGCAGCAAAAGGCCCTGCCCTCACCTCCTGCTTGTGGGGACAGGAGGCTGCATGGACAAGATTCCTTGACTGCTCAAACACTGGAGTGGTGAGGGGGGACTGTAGCTTCTCGGGTGTTCTCTCTCCCCCCTATGAACCTGGGTTCACCCTTTTTTCTAGGTCTCGGTCTGGCACTTCCTATCAGGTACCCCACCCCTATCAGGTGGGTTGCTTGAGGAAGGAATTTGTCATCATTTTCTTTCCTGGATTTAGGTGGTTTATTTATTTTCTTTCTATGCCTACCAAAGAACCCTTACCTGGAACTTCCTGCCTTAGGCTGGCCTCTGTTCTCTGGTTAGGAAAAGACAGCAGAGGAGTGGAATGTCTCTGAAATGAAGCTGCTTGGATGAGGATGGGGGTGGGTCCCTGGGGAGTCCCCCGGGGCTCTCTGTAACATGGCCCTGCCTCTGGCCTTGAACAGGAGTTGCTTCCCTGTCTGCTGGTCCCGATGCTGGAACCACTGGAGGATGATGTCATTCCCCTTCTCCACTCCCACACAGATGGGGCCCTTCCTTGTCTCCACCCTCAGGGCTGGAGCAAAATACAAAAGTGCACCCCATCTCTTAGGAACTCCCAAACCTTAGGTTATCTGGGCCTCTTTCAGGAAGACCTGCAGTGACCACATATTCGGGGCCTGGCCGCCGCTGCGGTTGATTGCTGCTCTTGCTGGAGGCAGGGCTTGTGGATAGCCGTTCATCACACTGACAGCTCTGTCCCAAATCCCAAATGGGGCTAGCAGGGTGGGGTGATTCTGGGAAGAGGTTGTTTTCTTATGGGAGAGTTACAACAGATGCCATTAACTATGAGCACCTGTGCCTTTGGAAAATGAACAGGGACACCCTCCCTGTGTACCTCTCAGGGCCTGACCTCAGGGGTCCCTACCCGTCCCTGACCACAGGGTAAAGCTAAGGCCTATTCAGTCATACAACTAAAGCCTGGCCTTTGTCAGCCAGCCTCCCCGTCATACCCCACTGGGTACCACCGGGGTGGGACATCTGCACCCCAGAGCAATGCTCTGACCTCGACCCATTGCCAGAAGTCCTGTTTTCCCCTTTCCTCCCACCTCCCGGGGCTTAGACCTCTGTAGGGATGAGGATCCAGACTGAGGGGACCTCAGTGAGCCAGGTACATCAGCATCCATCAGAGTCGACACAGTGCACTGGGTAATAGCCACAGTCAATACCCATGAACCCACGGGGCAAGGAGAAACTGCCTTCATGTCTCCTCTTGCCAGGTCAGGATTGAACGGAGCAGCCCAGGAATGGGAAGGGGATACGACCCTGCCTTCTGAAGGGGCCTCTGAACAGCTTCTTAAGCAGTCCGGATATTCACTTGCCTGCTTCTAGTCTGATGCCAAAAGGGCCAGTTCTCCCCCTGGGCAAATGCTGTCTCTAGGCCCCAGAGAGAAATTAATCTCTGGCCACCTGGGAAGGACAGAGGAAGAGTTGATGCTCTCCGTTGGGCACTGGGCACTGAGCACTGGACAGGTGAAAGACACCTGAGTTCCATCCCTGTTATACCATAGGGCCAGGGCCAGGCTCCCTTTTCACTCATGATTTCCATTTACCTCCCGCATGGGGAAGGGTCCTCACCCCTTCGCAGTCCCGTGGTTGACTCAGTACCAGATCCTCTGCTGACTCACCCCACCTCCCCAGCTCCCTGCAGCTCCCAGGCACGTGCCACTAGACTCAACCCTGAGGAGCTAGCTAGTGCAATGTGACAGGCTGAGGGGGCTGGTGACACTTGAGGAGGAAAGGAGGGGGCGGGGAAGGGCAGTTACAGACAGACAGATCTGCAGTCTGAGGCACCTCTGGGAGGAAGCCCTTGTGCCAGCCTGGGGCCTGCAGGAGGAGAAGCTGGGCAGGTGGGAGGGGAGGAGGGTGAAGTGCCTGCCTGCCCCCTGCCAGCACAGCCCCTTCTCCTGGCAGCCTTCAGCTCCCTCAGCGACAGCTTCTAATTCAGGCTGTTGGTGCCTCTGCGCCTCACAGTGAAGGCTCAGCTTTTTCCTGGTTTGCCATTTCTTTCCTGTTCAGAACATGGTGAGCCCAGGGAAGAAAGTCAGAGCGAAGGACCTGGGATCACTGTCCGTCTAGGAACTTGGCACAGACAGCGTGAGGCTCTGAAGGGGACTTGACCAACTACCCACCCCATTGTTTCTCTCCACCACAGGCAAGGGGCATAAACAAAGCTGTGCTGGCCCACTGGGAGGAAGGGCCTGGCCAATGCCCTCGTCTGGGCTCCTGCTACTTTTCTCCTCCCAGAGGTACCCAGCCTAACCTATCTCCTGAGCCTAAAGGCAGACACACAGGAAGAACGTGTTTTCTCTCATGATGCAGACAGGGAAAACTGAGTCCAAAAGGGACAAAAGCCTTTCTTCTGAGTAAAGAGAACATTCCTGTTCCCTTCCTGGGAGTGGAGAGTGTCACCTAGAGGTAGGACAGACTACCCTCTAAAAAATGATGCGGCACTGTCTGGGGAGCAGGCTGAGGTGTCTTCACTTCCTCTTACAGATGGGAGCATGCAGGTCTGCAACGAGGCTGCTAGTACATGACACAGGCTGAGACCTAGCTCTCGTGCCAAGAAATGCGTGGGGGCTCACTCCACAGGGTGTGCAGTTAGTACCTGCTCCTCAGGGGACAAAGGACAGTGTGAGTCCCTGCTGCACGGTCTAGCCCAAAGCCACGGTGGGCATCCCTGGAGCCCCGGAGTTCAGAAGGCACAGGGGCTCTCGGGCCTTTTGTCCTTTCTCCAGGACCAAGAGCCCTCCTCACAGAATCCTGGGCCGCAGGAGTCTCTTACAAAGCACATTCCTGCCCTTCTGAGGCTGAGGACCCCTTGATGCCTCACTGGATTTCCTGTCTCTTACAGCGTAGGACCCCTGAACACAACCCCCAAGTTGTCCCTGTTAGGTGCCCTTGTCTCTGTAACCCCTCTGTCTGGACCGTCTTATTGCTTAGAAGCCCAACATCACTCATCCCTGAGGGGCCAACCACCTCAGCTGCTGTCTTCAGGATACCCCTGATCCCTCTCTTTGCTATCATTCTGACCTTCCTTCCACTGGCTGGCTGAGTTTTGTATTTAGCAGATGTAGTCAATCCTTGGGCGACAGCCTCCCCTCCTCATATCCTGGGTTTATCTTCCTGACTGAGAAGGCAAATCTCATCCATTCAGGATCTAGTTTGTGCATCTGTGTTTCCCGTTGCTAGAAACGCAGCGCTGGGCTCATGACATCTGAGACATCCAGTAGTTGACTCAGTAGTTCACTTTTTCTTTTTTTTTTGAGACAGGGGTCTTGTGCAGCCAAGGATGATCTTGAACTTCTGATCCTCCTGCCTCCACCTCTCAAGTGCTGGGGTTACAGGCATGCAGCGCCACACCTGGTTTCATGCAGTGCCGGGAATTGAACCAATGGTTTTGTGTATATTGGACAAGTACTCTACCAACTGCAAAAATCCCTAGCCCTTCACTTACTCTACAAATAAATTCCATTCCAACTATTCTCATGCCCTCTGGACCTGGGAAGTTGTGAGGCACTCATTGTAACTCATCTCAGCTGAGGCCTTCTGCATCCCCTCTCCCCAGAGCCAAGCAGCTGGTTCCCCAAAGGAAGAGGCTCTCCGGTGGCTTTTCCACACATCTGATTGAAAATGGATCAGGCTCTCCCCTTTCTTTAGGGGTCAGGTCTAGAACCCTGTGGCCTAGAGAGGATTTTATTGTTTGAGAGAATCCAGCCCTGTGGGAGAATTTTTGCTTTGTCTTTTGCCCTTTCCTGGACCGTAGCTTGTCCTGGAGAGACTAGGGAGTGGTGCTCGGATAGTCCTAATGCCTGCACCCTCTCAGGTCCTAGTGCCCTGGGTCACAGCGGCCGGTGTCTAGTCAGCCTGCTTCACAGCGACCGTGGAACTAGCATGCGGGCGCGCTGTCAGGTTTGAGACGTCTGAGATTGGAGAACGCACCCCCGCCCTGCTCTGAGTGAGCGTGTGCGGGAGGCACAATTGTGTGTGACTGATTCGCTGCACTTTGGATGGCAGTTATCAGCCAGACTGAGCGCCCTCAGTCCGGAGCACAAATGCCTCAAACCCCAAATTACTCCTGTCTCTTGCCCCACCCCCACCCCAGTTAAACTCGTGTATTGTCCAGTTCTATCCTCTTGGGGTCCCAGTCCCTTTAGCCTAGAACCGATGGCAGGAGCTCCCGCCAGTTTCTAAGCAGCGGAGGGTACCGACTCGGGCGGAGGCGGGGAGGCGGGGAAAGAAGACTGCGACTTTAGGATTGGCCCCGCCGGGTGCATGTGGCCCCCGGCGAGCAGCCTCCGCCCCCGCCCCGCAACCGCCGCCGCATTCCCTGGGGAGCGCGGAGGAGGAGCCGCTCCCCAACTTCGTGGCCCACGAAGGGGTGGGGGGTCAGGGGCGGTCTCCCTCGCCCTGTCCGTCTCTGTCCCTTACGGCGGAGCCCGCTTCCAGGGCAGCCATTGCCATGGAGACCCCCGAAGCTATAAAGCCAGGTATCTAGGCGTCGGGCACCTCACGAGCCGCTGAGCCCCCCAAGTAAAAAAGCAAGCGTCCCGGCCCCCGCAAGAGAGGAGGAGGCGGAGAGAGGCTTCGAGAGCTGGAGGAGCGGCGCTCCCCGCCGAGGCAGGAGGCAAGCGCGCCAGGCGGGAGCCACCCGCTCAGCAGGGGAGCCCGGGCGGCCCGGGATGCCGGTGAGTGGCGCTGCTCCAAGCCACGAGGGACCGAGGGGCGTCGGACACGGGGGAAACGGCCCAAGAGTTGAGAAGGTCGAGCCTGAGCGGGAGCCGGGAGTAGCAAGCAGCCCACACCTCCAGGCGGGAGGCCCAGGGAGGAGAGCAAGACGAACCGGGAGCAGCAGGGAGACCTGAGCGGGAACCGCAGGACCCTCGGCTGCTGCCACCTACGCGCGCGGAAAGAGCGGTACCGGTGTCCGGGCCGGGGCCGTAGCCCCTTGGGGTGAGGGAACAGGGGCGCCCCCGTGCGGAGCTGTCGGACTTCCCGAGCACGGTCGCTGGAGCCATGCTCAAGCCCAAGGACCTATGCCCCCGGGCGGGTACGCGCACCTTCCTTGAGGCCATGCAGGCCGGCAAAGTCCACTTGGCCCGTTTCGTGCTGGACGCGCTGGACCGCAGCATCATCGACTGCCGCGCAGAGCAGGGCCGTACGCCGCTCATGGTGGCCGTGGGGCTGCCGGACCCCGCCATGCGCTCGCGCTTCGTGCGACTGCTGCTGGAGCAGGGTGCGGCCGTGAACCTGCGGGACGAGCGCGGCCGCACTGCACTCAGCCTGGCCTGCGAGCGAGGCCACCTGGACGCCGTGCAGCTGCTGGTGCAGTTCAGCGGCGACCCGGAGGCAGCGGACTCGGCCGGCAACAGCCCGGTGATGTGGGCGGCGGCGTGCGGCCACGGGGCGGTGCTGGAGTTCCTGGTGCGCTCTTTCCGCCGCCTGGGCTTGCGCCTTGACCGCACCAACCGCGCGGGCCTCACGGCGCTGCAGCTGGCCGCCTCCCGCGGTCACGGGACCTGTGTGCAGGCCCTCACCGGGCCTTGGGGTCGGGCAGCCGCAGCGGCCGCGGCCCGGGGCTCCAATTCCGACAGTCCCCCTGGACGCCCTGCCCCGGCGCCCAGCCCAGAGCGTCGACGACCCAGCCCCCGTCGTCTACCGCGGCCCCTTTTGGCACGGTTTGTGCGAGCTGCCGGCGGCCACGGCCATGGTCACGGCCACGGCCACGGCCACGGAGGTGAGCTTGCCTCTGCTGGCAAGGGCTCGGGCCGTCACAGGGCACCAGGCAGCGAGAGGCCAGAGCTGGGCCGGAGCATGAGCCTAGCGTTGGGTACCATGACGGAGGAGGAGACAGCACGCCTTCGGGCAGGAGCTCTGATGGCCCGATCAAACTCACCCCAGTCTTCGGGGAGTGGGCGGTGGCGCTCCCAGGAGGTGCTGGAGGGAGTGCCCCCAACCCTAGTGCAAGCCCCTATCGGCCTTAGTCCTCATCCCGAGGGTGGTCCAGGCTCTGGCCGCCTGGGTTTGCGGCGACGTTCCACAGCCCCAGACATCCCCAGCCTGGTCGGGGAGGCTTCAGGGCCAGAGAGTGGCCCGGAATTAGAGACCAACGCTCTGCCTTTCTCAGTGCCTGAGCCAAAGCCTTGGCAGGCGGGCACAGAGGCTGTGGTACTGCAGGCTCAGCGGTAAGGGGCATGAAGGTCGAGCCCTGCAAAGTCCACCCTCTTGTCTCTGGTCACTGAGATGTCCCTTTCCTCCAAGTCCTTCCCTTTCTCTGCGATTTGCCCCCCGCCCCCGACACACACACACACACACACACACACACACACACACACACACACACACACACACACACACACTTTGTCCCTTACTGCTAAAGGAAGACCTCCACCAGTCCTCCACCAGATTGGAGAAAGAGATCTCGTCTTTTTGTGCTCTTTGGTATTTCCTGTGTAGAACCCTCACCTTTCGACAGCCCTGACTCTCTTGTTCTGGGGGTGGGGGGTGGGGAAGAGGTGCGAAAGACTTCTTCTGTAGGCTTTCTAGCCAGGAAAGTGGACCCTGAGGCCCAGCCGCCTAGGTTCTGCTTCGGTTCCTGTAAGACTCTTTGCTTATTTCTAACTTTCCTATCAGCTTGGCAGCCCGGCCACAGTAGAGATGGCTTTGGAGAACAAAGGCCCAGCCCGCCGTGCCTGCTGACGCTGATAAACTACCAGTTCCCCTCCCTGTAAGCGTTGGAGAAAGGGAGGTTTGAAACGGCCCCATACGCTTTTTGGACCAGAGGGCTGATTATGAAGGAATCCATTGGTTAAGGTTTTCCGAGGTAGAAACTCCTTCTTCGAGATGATGAGGATATTGGGGGACTTTGTACCGTGCTGTTCACCAGTTGTCGCTTCTGGAGAATGAGCTTCCTCTGACTGTCTCAGTCAGACCCAGGGTTCAACATCATTGATATTATAGGGTCACTGTTCCTCCAAGCCCCTACTGACTCTTGGCTCCTGGGCCAGCTTGACCCCCAGCATGGTTGCATTTGAATTTCATCTGTGAGGTTCAATCCCTCACTCATCCTGGCCCAGCTTTACTTATATTTCCACTTAGTCCCAGAGGCCTGAAATGGAAAGGACTTAGCGTCCCACCTCCTCCTCCCAGCTCCCCCATTCTGCACGTGGGTGCTCCAGGAGGGTGGAACAGTTAGGAAGGATTTGCTTAATTGTATTTCTTCCAACCCTCAAAAGAACTCGTGTTTTGAGCCTTTGTGTATGAAGCAGAAAGCAGCAGGTCTGATCCGAGGCTTAAGAACCTGACAATGTCTCTTTAAATAGCACCTCCGCGAGGGGGATAATTGACTGGAGTGTTTGCAACGTTCAACGGCGGAGCGCGGGAGTCGGGAGCCCACACGAACCGCAGGTCCGGATCTAAATTACATCAAACTCCGGAGAGAGCATAGGAGGGGGCTGCTAAACGTCTCCTGCTTCTTGCTGGGCTGTTAATGGAGGGCAGGGCAGATGATGGATGCTAAGATCGAGACCCAGGCCCCCTGCCTGTGCCCCACCGCGTGGGATGCAGTCCCAGCCCAGCTTCCAGCTTTTATTACTGGGCAGATTAGTGAGTCAGAAGCAACCGTGGAGAGGTAGTTAGGCCCCCTCCCCGCCAAGTCTTTTGTCCTCTCTCTCTCTCCCCGCCCCTGCCCTCCAACTCTGTACCGCCTCGACAGGCGACAGGCAACAAGCTGCGAAGAAAGGGGCTTGACAGGTCGCATGCTCTACGACCCAGTGTCAGTGTTAGCTCCTGGTGGGAGATCTATACCATCGGGGTGTGGTGAAAACTCCTGCTTCAAGGCAGTGGAAGTTTTCTGGCCGTACCTCGGGTTTCTGTTTGTGAACCCCGAAGAGTGCGCACGTAGCTCCTCACCTGCCCGCGATAAAGCCTTTTTAAGACGTTGATCTGTTGTCTTTGTGTGAGGGTTTCTCACCAGTAGCTCCGAGGGAACTGCCCAGAGAGAGAATGCTGGTGCTGAGAAACTGGGCCTGCGGCTGCGGGGTAGGAAGTCAGCTTTTGCAGAGCCCTGGCACCTCCCCAGTTCCTTGGCTGGCTAGGCTCCGAGGCCGCGCGCCAGCCCGGTGATCCTTGCTGCCCCCTGGTGGCAACCGCTGCGCTCTCTTCGCTGCGCCCAGGGAACTCAGACTCGGCTTTTATCGGAGATCATCGATGTGTAACTTCTCCCACTGTGCATTTTACCCATGAAGCATGTTCCTCTTGCAGAATATTAAATCCGGATACTTGAAGTCTTCACTTCAATGAAGTGAGGAACAGTGTACAAGTAAAGTCAGCACTGGGTGTAAAAAGTGCCCCGAACCCCTTTACCAAGAACCCCAAGCCATTTTCCAAGCCAAGGCCACTGTTGAGAGAGTTCCTGCTCTCTTTAGAACAGCTGGAGCTGCCAACCCCTATGGTTTCTGAGCCTTGACCTGACCACGTGCGTTGTTTTCTCATGACAACTGCTTTCCATTCTGTGGTGATAGATCTGCCACCCCACTCCAACACACACACACACACACACACACACACACACACACACACACACACACACACCTGCCTCTCCTCAGTCCCCTGAGATAAACAATACCTGAAAAGTGTCTGAAAAGCCAGAGGAGGTCAGGGCAGGGACACTCCAAGTGAATACTGCTTTTTCTCTGACCCTTCCTTGCTCACATTCCATTTTCAACTGTGTTTAATTTTAATGACATTGTTAATGGTGTGAGAATACAAATATTTTGGCTTCAAGCACCATGAAGTTTGGCTCACACGTTGTGTGTCAGGGGTGCTGTCATCTTTTCAGTTCTGATGTGGTGGTATTCTGGGGGAACGTCACCTTGGTGCATCTCTGTCTGTGGTCTGTGGAGTGGCTGGAAGCCGGGTGGTGGCAAGTGATGTCTTTGGAACACCACAGCAGATCTTTCCCGTCTGAACTGAGCTGTGGGCCTTGCTGTCCGCACAGACTCCTTAGCAGGCTCCATGGAGAACTCCAGTACACTTCACTCTCCCCAAACTTTCTCTGTCAGCTCTCGGTACATTGAGGCTGTGGTCCCCTCTTGTCCCCTCCTGCTGTAGAAAAGATTTTGCTGTGTATTTTGCTTTCCATATTATTGTTCTCATCGTGAAGAGTCACCCGGGCCACTGGCACTCAGTACTGATTTGTGTGGAAGGCTGAAGGGCATTGGCACATGCCTTTGGGATGATACGTGAAAAGGACTAGTGGGAGGAAGAGCAGCTAATAAACCCAGTGTTATTCCGTCTGGAGAACCAGCCTCTCTGTGCCTTCCTGCTCACGCCTGCCTCTTGGCTTCCTTTGAAAAGATGGAAGTACACACTTCATTGGAGGCGCTTCCTCCGCTCATCGGCCCCTGGCCCCGGCCATCCTACAGCTAGAGCCTGGAGGTAGAGGGCTGCAGGGGACTGCTTCTTGCTGAATGGCTGGGGCTGGGCGCTGGATATGGCTCCTCACGCCTAGTTAAGTGGCTTGGATGAGCAGTGCCTTGGGCGTAGAGCTCAGAAAAGGGAGATTGGAATCCTGTCAGAGCTAAGAAGTGAAAAGGTAATTTTACCCACCTCCAACCCCAGGTCTAGAACCCACGTTTCTTGGTTTCTGGTCACTTCCCCACTCTTTTGAAATTTTGAAATTACTCCTTCAGTTTTAAGAAATTCACAGGGTCTGCTTTCTCTCAAGCAGACGTTTCGGGGAGTTTTCTACGGGCAGCCCGAGGACCAGGCAAGGGGAGAAGCCAAAGTTAAGGGGTCAGTCAGCCCTGTGGCTCAGGAGCTCAGCCCTGGCCAGAGCCCCCTCATCCCTTTGCGTCTGTTCCTAGGGCCTTTCACTCCGTTTCCTTCCTCCTCTGCCCTCGTTCTAGGTGTGCAGGTCACCAGAGAAGCAGGTGTTCTGTGGACTCAAGTGACCACGGAGGAGCCCACCAAGCACCCACTCCAAGGGCATCTGGCTCCAAAAAAGCCTGGCTTCAGGCCCAGAGAATGGAAAACCCAGGGGTTCGAACAGTCAGTTTAATTTAAAACAGGCACAAGTGCAAACGATTCACAAACATTTCTAGGGAAGATACTTTTGTTTTTAAAACTCTGACCCTTAGAAAAAGACCTTGCAGGTTTGTTTTTTTGCCCTAATGCAGGTCACCAGGGAGCAGAGGGATCTAAAAATATTATCTGGATAGGGTCCAGATACTGGAGTTCTTCCTTGGCATTCCCTGTCTCACAACAGCCAGGAAGGTGGGAAGGGAGGGAGGGAGGACAAGGGGGCAGGTAAGCGTCTGCAGGGAGAGCTGGTTCACACAAGGAGGTACCCATCCCTTGGCATGAAGGACCCCCCCCCCACACACACACACAGGAGGTGGTTCACCTTCCTGTCCCAGCCCAGGGTTCTAAAGAGGATGGGTCCCTGATGATCTGGCTCCTGTCTCAGTAGGGAGAAACTCAGACACACCAAGAGCCAGCCCCAGCATGTGTTAGACTTGACATACACACACCCCTTTGCTGTTTAGGTAATAACACGAGACTTGAGAGGCAGAAAACCAGGCCCCCAAAGCAGGTCCCTTCAGAGTAGAGCTTGGTAGAAAAGAAGACTGTGGGGGGCGGGGAGCTCTTCTGAAGCTCTCTGTGGGTAACTGGAAAGGCCTGGGCCTTTGGGGGACTTTACACACACACACACACACACACACACACACACACACACACACACACACAGAGAGAGAGAGAGAGAGAGAGAGAGAGAGAGAGAGAGAGAGAGAGAGAGAAAGACAGAGAGACAGAGAGAGAGACAGAGAGACAGAGAGAGAGGGAGAGAGAGGAAAGGGAGGGAGAGAGAGAGAATGAGAATATGTTCTCTCCATCCTGAAAAATGGAGTCACTTTTACCATCAACTACATACTCTCTCTCAGAAGATTCCCCCTTGCTACTCCCATGGCCTATACACAGGCAATTCACAGTTCTGTGGAGGCTTGCTGGGGAGAGGCTATGCCAGGGGACAGATGGGGAACAGGTGCAAGTGGGGCTTCCAGAAGTCAGCCCAAGGGAGGAAGAAGGGTTCAGGCAATAAATCCTTCCCCACGGCCCTCTGGGCCTCCAGGGTTTGAAGCCGTAGCTGAGAACAGCGAGTATCCGTGTGAAGATGGGGCATGCACCCTCTTGGTGGCCCGGGACACTAGTGGACACTGCCTTTAGAAATCTTCAGCAGCCTGTCGGCTTTGCTGGCTGGTGGCCAGGAGCACCACTCTCCGTGTTTCTTAGAAACATCCCTGTGCAAATAACAAAGGGGCCAAACCTGCAGAAGGGGGTCACTGTCATCCCAAAGGCAACTGGGACGCTGGGGGGGGGGTGAGACTGAGGGGGGCAGGTCCGGCCTGGCCCAGCGGGCAGAAGGGCAAGAGGGAAGGGCTGGAACTTCACATTCAATCTTTGGAGAGAATACTGAGAGGACAAGGCAGGTAGGCCCTGCCAGTGGACTGGCTGCCCGGTGTCCTTCGCCTGCGGGCACAGGCAGCAGGTGCACCCTGGGTGTGGACTCAGCAGGTGGAGGTCTGCTTGCGGTAGAGCTGTATCAGGGGCACCAGACACTCAGGCAGCCCTGTCTGCAGCAGAAAGGGGTGATCCAGGAGCTCCTGGGCTGTGGCTCTCTCTTGGGGTTCCCGTACCAGCATCCGGTCCAGGAAGTCTCGCAGCACTGGGGAGATCTGCGGAGCAGAACAGTGACAGGAAGCCTTGGCTCACAGTCGCTTCCCTGCGGCGTGGCTGTGGGGCTCCCACTGTTTTATACCTCGTTTTCCTCTGGTTTCTTACTGCCTGGTTCCTCCCAGGCTCACTGACTGTTGGATTATGAGGTAGGAAAAGGAGGCCAGTTCACCTGTCATGGGAGCTGCAGAGCAACGGAATGAGGATGTCTGGAACTCTGGGGAGCTGGGTTCCATACACGGCCCATTACCCCTGCCTGCTTCGGGGGGGGGGGGGGGTTGGGGTGGAGGGGCTCCTGGCATTCCGGCTCTGCCGCTCTGTGAAGTGGCCATGGAACTGGCATCCGCGCTCCAGTTCCAGATCTAAAAGGCCGCCTTAGGATGCTATAGAAGGCTGCCTCCTTGGGGCAGTTCACTGATGGGCGCTCTTCTGGACCTGCTCTTCTCAGACTTAGCACAGCAGTCTCCAAGGATCAAGCTGTCTTGGAGCTATTTAGAGACTGCGCTTCAATCCTCTAGGACATTTTCTTGGCTTTGGCCACCAGGTGGCAGTACCACTTAGCTGTCCTGTGCCAATCAGCCAGCAGGGGATTGATTTGGCAGGAGAGAGTGAATTATAATAAGTAGGTATACTGGTTCTAGGGGGAAAGCTGTAGTGGTATTTGGCTCAGCTGTGGTCAGGATGTGTCATACAAGAGGACAAGCCATTCATGTGACGGCACTGTGTTGGTATGGGGCCCCGGACAAGCAGGGTGGAAGGAGCTGTACTCTGGATTCCTTCTTGGGGTCCTCACTCTTCCTCCTCATCAGTATGGGTGGGTTCCTGCCGAGAGCCTGCCAAGAAGTGATTCTCCTGCTGCAGCTACCGGTGGGAATTTGTTGGAGTGAACGTGGGAGTTTGTACATAAATGTGACTTTGTACCCAGCACAGATGTTATGTGGAAGAGGACCAAGGGGATATACTCTCTGCTTTCGTGAAGCCTATGTTCCCATCCTCTTATCTCAGGAGAAAGGGGCTCGGGGTATGAGGCCGGGGAGTTCACAGCTTGCACAACAACCGACCTTGTAAGAGTTCTTTAACTTGGGAGGGGGGCTGTCCCGGAGCCTCTTCATGGCTTGAACGGGGGAGTCGCTGAAGTAGGGAGGCTCTCCATCCACCATCTCAATCACCATGATGCCCAGAGACCAGATATCCACCTGCAGGAGAATAGCCCTGACTCTGTTGCTGGGGTCTGGCTCTTGGGGGCAGTGTGTTGGATGGAGCATCTTGTCTCCTTCCAAGTCTCCTTAGTGAGTCTGCCTCCTTCATCCCCTGGCCAGCTGCCCTGTGGTCAGACCCCTTTTGTATGAGTGGCCAGAGGCCATAGAAGCCATCCCTCATGGAGAACGCTGGCCATATGCCACTGTGGCCTTGAGCTGAAGAGAGCAGTGTGTGGCAGGGCCTGCTCCTGGCGGTGAGGTCCACGCAAGAGTGACTCCATCGAAAAGGGGAGGTGGGACTGGCCGTGGTGGTGAGGGCCTCTAGTCCCAGCATTTGCAAGGCAGGGGCAGGGGTATCTCTGTGAGTTCAAGGCCAGTCTGGTCTACACGATGAGTCCCAGGAAGTCAAGGGCGACATAGAGAGACCCTATCTCAAAAGGGGGGCAAGGGACAGATGCTGGTTAAATGGATACTTCAGAACTGGGATTATTAGTGGTGGGGACAAGACAAGTGGTGGGGATTATTAAGAGGGACAAGACAGAGGAGTTACATGTTCCTAAGTTTCTCCAGGGAGACCTGGAGGTGGAGGAAATAGTTACCTCAGTAGCATACAGAGATCTGGAGATCACTTCAGGAGCCATCCAGTATGGGGTTCCCACCAGGGACTTTCTCTTGGGGACATCTTTGCTGATCTGAGCACAGAATCCAAAGTCTGAGAGCTTCACCTGGGAGTTGAAAAGGAAGTGGGTAGAGACCAGGAGGAAAGGGGGTGCTAGAGAGGATATGGGGGACAGCCGAGACATGAAAAGGGAGGACCTACCCTGCCATCAAGGGTCAGCAGGATGGAATCACTCTTGATGTCCCGGTGGATGACACCCTGGGCATGCAGGTAAGCCAGGGCCTGAAGCACAGCTTCACACACAGTAGCAATCTGCTCCTCATTCAGCCTGGACAGAGAAGATAGGCCACCCATTGGGAGAGCCGAGTTATCAGGGTGGCTGGGCTGAGTGGAGAGGAGACCCAGGCAAAGGGGCCTACAATTCCCAAGCAGCCTATTTAAGCAGGCGGTAACCATTTTTCTAAGACCACTGAGTCACAGTTACCCCCAAATAGGGAGTCTAAGATGACTAGCCTTATGGGGAAGAGGCAGTGGCGGGGTGGTCCTCCCTCGGCTCAGCCCTTTCAGCTGCCCACCTGACTTGGGAGATGATGTCCGTGAGGGCCCCGCCCTGCAGGAACTCCATCAGCACCCACAGCTCCTCGCCTACCAAGTAACTCTTGTACATTTCCACCACGTTGAGGTGCTGGTAGTCACGCATGATCACCACCTGAGGGGAGAGAGAGGCCTGAGTGCCTGGCACAGTATCCCATGGCCAGGGCCCCCTGCCCCCCTGCCGTCCTGCCAGGTTGCCCCCAGGTTCCTCAGCTTCACTGCACACTTACGGCCCCGCTGATGGTCCCACCTGGCTCCCACCTCATTAAAGAGCAGCTCCCTGCGTTGTTGCTTTCTGAGGTCCATCATCTTGACCGCCACCTGGCGACCCGAATGCTTCTCCCGGGCCAGACACACAATGCCCGTGGAGCCCTCCCCAATCTTCACATAGCTGTCCAGCAGCATCCGGGGGTCACCCTGGTCCACCACCATCCTGAGCGCAGCCTTGAACTGCTCATGGGTCACAACGCCCGTGTCCTCGCCAGCCAGGGCCCCCTTGGCCACTGTGGGGTCCTGGGGCAGGTAGAGATTGCTGGTGCTGATCTGAGCGTGCCGAGTGCGGGGGGAGCCGACTGGAGAAGACCGGCCTGGAAGCGGGCCAGTGGCTGGGACTGTGCGGAGGGACTTCTGGGGGCTGCTGGTGTCCGAGGTGGTCAGAGGGCTGAGAGTCCCCATGGGCTGATCCGAGGGCAAGGACTGGGCCTTGGCGACCAGGTTTGAGGAGGAATCCTTTTGCGGTGGTCGGAAAGCAGAGCTGAGCTGTGAAGACAGGGAAAGACACAATGACGGGTGTGGCCAGGGAATATTCCAGGCAAGCTTCCTAGAGGCAGGGTTGGCTACTGTGGCCTGGACACCAGCAGGAGCACCCAGGGCTTCCGGTTAAATAGACGAAGTGAAAACTGAAGCTGAGTCTAACCAGACCCCCAAGGTCCCGGGTGACAGGCCCAAGAGCATCTCTTTACATCCACTCTACTGCTCCAGAGAGGACAAAGACAGAGGGTCCTGGGGTGGCCTCTAGCGGGACATTTCTTCCTGGGCCACTGACAGGCAGGCCTCAGGCCACTGTGAGATCCCTGATGTGAGTGGAAGAGGCCCTGAGCAAGGAACGGGTGGTGGGTAGCTGTGATTGGCTCCCGGAACCAAGACAGGGAGGAGGCCCTGGCTGGGGTGTGGCAGCCCTGGCTGGGGTGTGGCAGCCCTGGCTGGGGTGTGGCAGCCCTGCTTGTGGGTAGAACAGGGAGGCTGTGTATCTAGGGGGTTAAACCCACCAAGAGGCTCTTGGCCAAGGGACCCTCGGAGAAGGAATCCCGGAGCTGGTCTCACAGCCTCGGTCGGGGGTGAGGCAGAGGAGGGGCAGCCCGTCCTGACCGAAAGCCAGGGAAACCCTCTCTCCTTTCTGAGCTCAAGCCTTCCAGCTAGCACTGGAGTGAAAGGAGCCCTCCCCTCCGCAGCCCCTCCAGGATCTTGTGTTTTTAAACATGTGGAGAGGGACTGGCTGGGGGCTACACAGAGGGCTGCTTAGGGTGTCCCCAAGTCCATCACAGAGACAGACAGATGTCTTAACACTCACTGGCTTTGCCCACGGCCTCAGCACTGAACTCGCTCAAATCTAGGTTCCACCAAAGACTTTCTCGCTCTAGGTTCCCACTCTCAGGCTTTGGGGATCCACTCCCCAGCGTGGGCCCCAGCCTTGCAGGGAGTCTAGCAGGTACACGGTGATGGCTGAAGAGCCCCAGTGAGAGAACATTTATCCGGAAAGTCTGCCAAGATGCCTTGAAGGAAACTGCTCCCCTGAATTTGGAACCCTGCTGTCTCTGGGCCTGTGACAACCACAAACCGCTTCCGCTGTGGGCGTGCCCTGGCACACACAGTGGCCCACAGGGGTTCTCAGGAGTGAGGCGGGAGGGCCAGTGTGGTGACTGGCAGTTCAAGCAGATGATGTCAGTGCCCAGCTCAGTGTTAGGACCCCTTTCCTCCAGACCCCTGCAGCCCACCCAAGCAGACATGGGGGGATCAGGTGACCTTAACCTCCCTGGTGCTATGCCCTGCCCTGCCGCACCTTAATTCAGTGGAGGATGTCTCCCAGGTCGCAGCCTCCCTTCCAGAGACCCCTAAGCTCACAGACACGTGAGGGGCACGAATGTATGAAGCCACGAAGCTTCCTCGGTGCCTCAGCTGGCAGAGACTTTGTAAGTTCAGGTCACCCTCCAGTTCAGGGTAGACCACCATCACAGCATCACCACAGCAGAGGATCCGGCTTGCTCTCAAAGCCCATCCTCTTCACTGTCAGCCGCCGTCTCTTAGGCCTGGCTAGAAACCCTCATGCTCAGCCTGTCTTTCAAGAGTTAGATGATAACTATCCACCATGATTGCAAAGCTCCGTGTACACAAGATCCAGGAGCCCAGACGGCCGAGGCAGGATGCCGGCTCTGAGTGAGTGCGTGCCCGCTTGCTCCTCTGCCTCACTGGAGTTCCTAGTGCGAGCTCAGGTAGGCTATCACCTGCTGGATGGGAGAGAGTGCTACGGTCACTGCAGACAGGAGGTGCAGGCCAGGTGAGAAGTGGAAACATGCTAATCTGCCTGCCAAGGAATGCCACCACCAAGACACTCTCCCCTCTTTCCCCTGTCCTGCTACTCCAAGTTCTGGGGCAAAGTCAGTCCCATGGATTCGCATAGTACACGTTCTCTGGCAAGCTGTGCCCCTCCAGGGACACTGGAAAACTAAGGAGGGGCAGAAGAGCACACACCACTGTGGAAGTGGGAACCGGAGCCGGATTCACCACTGTGGAAGTGGGAACCGGAGCCAGATTCACCACTGTGGAAGTGGGAACCGGAGCCTGATTCACCACTGCGGAAGTGGGAACCGGAGCCTGATTCACCACTGCGGAAGTGGGAACCGGAGCCGGATTCACCACTGTGGAAGTGGGAACCGGAGCCTGATTCACCACTGCGGAAGTGGGAACCGGAGCCGGATTCACCACTGCGGAAGTGGGAACCGGAGCCGGATTCACCACTGTGGAAGTGGGAACCGGAGCCGGATTCACCACTGTGGAAGTGGGAACTGGAGCCGAATTCACCACTGTGGAAGCGGGAACCGGAGCCGGATTCTTTTGACCCTTTGGTCTTTCTGTACGACACTGGAGAAGAAAGAGTTATGGGGAGAACAGGGAGGGTGAAAGGGGTGCTCGCTGTAGGCAGCTCAACCCAGAATCCGCCTGCAGTCCTCAAGGAAGCAGGGGGCTCCACAGAGCTCCCAAAACAGGGAGGTGGAGAGACCCTGCCCTCTTCAGGCCAGGGTACATATCCCTGCTGTGGTCTTGAGGTTCTGGCCTGAGCTTTTGGTTAAAAATGCTTTTAAAGAAGGATCCTCCCAGTGGAGTGCCAGGCCTCAGAGGATAGGAATGTCAACCACAGGTTTCCTTCGCTCCACCTGAAATGACCCGGTGGCGTACAGCCTGTGACTCACACGTGCTAAGCCTCTGGAAGACATGGACTCGGATGGCGAAGTCAGGCCACCGTGGTTAGCGGAGGCCACGCTGGTTAGATGGTCATTTTGATTTCTCACGTTCTTCTCCTGACCCAGTAAGTGCGGAGGGCCAGGCAGGCTTGGCATCTCTGGTACTTAGTGCCCTGTAGCTGTCTGCTAGGCATGCTTCCTTGTCCTCCTTGGAGTGACCCCAGGAGGAAGACCCAGGGGACGGACGTACCTTGTTCTGTGGCAGAGGGACCGGCTTGCTGCTGCTTGCAGAGCCTGCAGCGGCGGCAGGGGTGGACAGGAACATGCTTCGGAAGAGCCGGTGCTTGAGGCCGCTCTCCTGGTTCTTAGGGCTGGGGCTGCCTTCTCCACCCGGCCTGCCGACAATGGCTGAGCCCACCAGGCAGGACTGTGGCCGGGCCTCCTCCGAGCTGTGCTTGGCAGCCTTCACTCCCCGCCTCCCTGTGGCCGTAGGGGGTGAGGTGCCAGGTGGGGAGCTCTGCAGGCAGGCACCCAGCTGCAGGCAACGCTGCGAGGCCCCCTGGAACTCAGCAGGGCCCAGGGACTGTGCCTTGGCAGCCAGCCCATTGGGCAGGGCCTGTGGGCTCTGTGGCTCCGGCCATGGCATCTGCCTGTGACCTGCCGGTGTGCCCCCATTGCAGCTGAGGTAGAGGCCGTGGGGATCAGTGCGCTCGGACGGGGGACTTTGGAGGTACATATCTGGGTCGGCAGCCCATTGCTCATCGCCCAGCAGCCCCAGGGACTGTGCCCGCCGCCGGCTGGTGGGGCTGCGTCCACGCAGGGTATTGGAGCTGATGGCTGACAACTTCTGGATGTCGTTGAGCAGCCCTGAGATGTAGCCCTCCGTGGGCACGGAGCTGCCCCGTACCACCGTCTGTGGAAGACAAAAGAGTGTGGGGAGGCAGCCCCTTCACGGCAGAGGGTAGCTCAGAGCCTGCCTGAGGGCCTTGGCAAGGAATCCCTACCCACACACCTCCGTTATCACCCCACCCATCCATTCGGTTTCCAGACATTTGTCTGTGTTCACAGTGGGTGAGGCCCGTGCTGTGCAGCCTATAAGGATGCAGGGAGGAAGCCCTTGTCAGCAGGACAGACGGGTAGGTAGCTATGGGTCGGGCCAGAATGAAAAGCGGGTGGCCAGGCGAGTCTAGGAAGCCGGAGAACTCAGGAGGGGCGCTTCAGGCTTGAGCTCTTCCCATGGTCTCCAGAGAGATGTCTGAGAAAACCAGTTCTGGGGCCTCCCCGCTCCCCCACATCCCACCTTACAACGGAGCTCCTGATCCCAACTCCTACCCAACTCTTAAATTTCCCATGTGACCTCTGGTCTGGGACAGCTGCAACTCCTCTGGGGTCACAGGTCTAAATGGCGGATGAGACATTCTTAAAGGTTGTTGTTAACTGAAATTCGAATTAATTAGTTTTGGTAGGTTTGAGGGTGTTTTTTCAAGACAGGGCCTCACCCTGTAGCTCAGGCTGGCCTCCAACTCATTGCCATACGACTGCCTCAGTCTGTCAAGCACTGGGCTTCTTTATCATCAAAAGCCTCCACACCTGGCTTAAAATTCTCCCCAGGTAGAAAGCTGACTAGCAGAGGACTGAGATGGCAGACTTGATTCTGATACCCAAGTGGCCCCTCCAGGTGCCTCTGGGGTTTCCCTTCCTGTGGAGTGGGAGAGGCCGAACAAGGTTATAGGCCTGTCCCCTTACCTTCATGGGCTGCAACTGCACCCTCGTGATTCGAGAAGGATCCACCACGGGCTTGGGCCGCCTCAAGGTGTCCAGGATGTTCTGCCACTGTGGGGGGAGGCCCACGAACTTGCCTTCCTTGGGGTCAAAGGAGGTGTGGACACGGTGCTGGAAGTTCTGTGGGGCTGATATCTCAGGGCGTTTCTTCTTTTTCTTGCGGAACATGGTGCCTGTAAGAGGAGGGTCAGTTGAGCTGGTCCCAGGGACCCTGGGACGGCTCAGTGGGCGCTGGGTATAGATAGGCTCAGGCCTGTGTCTCTCCCTCAGCGTAACTTCTCTGTCCCTGGAGATTCCCCCACTGTCTTCCAGACGTCCTCAGGGGAATGGCTGGCTCCCAGCAGAACAGTTTTAGAAAACGACAAAAGTACCGCAAATACAAAATTAAATAAATACATAAATAAATAAATAAGCCAACACAGACTACAAGCAAGGAAAAGAGGTGTCTGCCTTCTTGTTTGTGCCGAGTCGCCTGCCAAGGAGTGCTTTTTAAAACCCAAAGCCCCTTACAAACATCAATCCATGTCAGAGAATTACAAAAGGGGGGCAGATGGGTAGGAGGCGGGCAGACTTAGTCTGTGAAGCAAGTGTGACCTTGACTCTCAGTCAACTAAGAATACAAGAAAAGGAGAATCTCAACCAGTCTCACTGAAGAACGTAAACGTGAACTGGGCATAGTGTTACATGGTTGTAATCCCAGCTCTTGGGAAGCTATGGCAGGGGGATTGCTGTGAGTTTGAGGCTAGCTTGGACTATATAATAGGACCTTGTCTAAACTGCCTCCTCCCCGACTCCATAAATGTGAAAAAACTAGCAAACTGAATCAAATGATACGTTAAAAATGTTGTCACGTTCAGCTCTGGCTTGTTGCTGCCTGACAAACAGGAAACCTGTTAAAGCGACATACATTAACAAGAAGCTAACCAGTCAGTTTGCAGTACTATTGCCCAGGCTGAGAGGGTATCATACCACTTGGCCACTCCAGAAGGGCCCTCCTCATGAACATGCACTTTGCCTTAATTCTGGGAAGGGTGGAATCAAAAGGTCAGCCTTGGGTAGGGCTAGGGTAGCTACCTTACAGGTCAAGTTCTCCAGAAAAGACAGAGTCCCACTTACCCATTTCCTGTGGATTTTAATCCTATTCTGGGACACTGCACAAAATGTCTCTTGTGGTCTAGCCTGCAACCCACACCTTGCTGATTTTGCATGAGGTTTTACTGAGCTCTGGCAATGGGAATGACGTGGGCTTGGAAAGGATAGTATGACTAGACCTAAGAGGAGGAAACTGGGAACCTGGAGGGCGGAGGGGTTTCCAAAGGTGTCCTAGTCAGTCCTAGAGAGTCCCAGGCCAGCATCAGTATATTGATGAACGACTCTTGAGTCTTTGAATATGAAGTAGCTCAAAACATTTCAGAAAGGAAATGAATCAGTGTGCCTCTGTCTCTGCGTTTCCCAGAGGGGTATCCCTCTGCCTCCGTCTCTGCAGTAGCTAGGACTGCAGATACACTGTCTTACACAGCCTCTCCTGTTTCTCCTCGTGAATGCCTGGATCCCTCCTCCAGCTCAAGAGTTGACATGCAGGGTCATTACGGTGGTCCCTGACTGCTCTTGCTCCAGAAACAGAATTTCCCCCACCACTTTGGTAGGTTCTGGAGAGGATGTGCACGCAATAGGCACCACTGGAAAAGGTGGTAGAACTCGCCATGTGTAAGGCAGTGGAGTCCATGGCATACCCTTAGAAGATCAGTCCCTCTAACCCTCCTTAAGGGCAGAGTCAGTATCCAGGACCCTTACAGACCGAGGACTTGACATTGAAATGCATTGTTGAGTTGCAGCTATAGAGAATCTCTTCCCTAAATAGGAGTGACTTGGAACAAGTTACCCAGGCAGCTCAAGTCTCTGTGTTCCTGGCTGTCCAGCGGTGTGTTTGTGAAGACGGCTCACAAGGCTAGGGAGCGCAGAGTAATAGACTCCCGTAGATGCTGGCCATCTCTCTAGCTGTGTTCTCTCTCCCCTCGCTCCTGAGCTTGGGGTCTTCAGACGCTGGCACTCGGGTAGATTTGGGTCTGGGAGTGATGTCAAACTCTTTCCCCTCTCATTTACCTTCTCAAGGGGTCATGACTAAAGCTCTGGGTTCTGGGCCCCAGACACTGTACCTCACGTCTCCACTGTGCAGACACTTTGGACTGCTTCGGCCCCTGCCTCTTGCTTCGGCCAGCAAGCCAATCCCCACAGCCCCCTCAGCAGACCCTCTCTCCTGGACTCTTCAGGCTAGTTTTATGTAACCGCGACACAAGCTAGAGCCATCTGAAAGGAGGGATCCTCGACTGAGACAACGCCTCCGTAGGGCATTTTCTTAATCAGTGATTGATGGGGGAGGGCCCAGCCCATGGTGGGTGGCGCCATCCCTGGGCTGGTGGTGCTGGGTTCTATAAGAAAGCAGCCTGGGCAAGCCATGAGGAGCATCCCTCCATGGCCTCTGCATCAGCTCCTGCCTCTAGGTTCCAGATGTTTGAGTTCTTGTCCTGACTTCCCTCAGTGATAGACTGTTACCTGGAAGTGTAAGCTTTTGAATAAACCCTTTCCTCCCCAACTTGCTTTTGGTTGTGGTGTTTCACCACAACAATACAACCCCTAACTAAGACACAGACCCACTTGCTTCCTCCGTGGCTGTGAAAATTTCTAGAGGTGAAAATACCATCCAGAGCCACAAAGGAACTGGCTGAGGCCTTCCTCCAAGAACCCTGATTTCTGCAACTCCCCCAAGCCAACCAATAGATCAGCTCTTGGCTCTTGCATAGGATTCATGGGGAGGGAAGGTGGCAGTGTTAAGTGGTTTCAGTGACTCCATACCTTCTGGAGTTCACCCTACCAGCCACTCCTTGACAAGATCTCTAGATCAGCGGAGAGACACAAGGAGAAAGACCAGCATCCAAGGGATTGTGGAGGTTGGAGGCTGGCAGAAGCAGTCAATGGAGCTTTGGGTAGGAAATAGAGATTCAGATCAGCTAATTATTTAAACAATGGAGAACCTGGGACCTAAAGGAAGGCCACTAGGACTCATCCAAAATGTGGTCAGGCCAGCCGTGCTTGGGACAGTGTGTTTGCGAAAGAAAAACCAGAAGAGCCTACAACAACCAAATTAATTTAGAAAGTCCTCAACTCAAGGTCAACATAAATAAAAGTTCATTGAATTTCAATATAAAATGAAACAGAGCTGGGCGTAGCAGCTATAATCCCAGATGAGACCAGAGGATCAGGAATTCAAGGCCAGCATGCACTACACAGTGAGTCTGAGGCCAACCTGGGCTAGTTACCCTGTCTCGAGGAGGAGGTGGTGGTTCTGGAGAGATGACTCAGTGGTTAAGAGTGATTACTGAGCTGGGTAATGGTGGTGCACGCCTTTAATCCCAGCACTCGGGAGGCAGATGCAGTTGGATCTCTGTGAGTTTGAGGCCAGCTTGGTCTATAGAGTGAATTCCAGGACAGCCAGGGCTACACAAAGAAACCCTGTCTTGAAAAACAAAACAAAAATTGCTGCTCTTGCAGAGGACCTGGACCTGGGTTTGGTTCCCAGCACCCACATGGCAGCTCACAGCCACCTGGAGCTCTAGTTCCAGGGGATCTGACACCCTCGTTTGACCTCTGCAGCCTCCTGCATGTAAGTGGTGCACTTACATCTATGCAGCACACACGTACACATGCAAAATAGGATAAAGATACATTTTTTAAAGAGAGAAAGGAAATGACATTATTTATCATTTCACATTAAAAATAGCAAGCACACAGGGATAAATCTCTTCTCATTGAAAGCCATAAAACATTAGAGATATTAAAGACTGTTCATATTTTGAAGATTTCACACTGTGAAGATGTCAGTTACTCCCAAATCAACCTACAGACTTATTTCAGGCTCAGCATATTTCTTGTGGCAGAAACTGACACACTGATTCTAAAATGTGCAGGAAACAGAGAACCAGGAATAGCCTCGGCAGCCTGAGAGAACAAAGTTGGAGGACTAAACTAAATATATATTGGGATTTATCATAAAGCTACAGTAATTAATATGCCGTAGAAACAGCACAAGGGTTGACAAACAGAGCAAGGCACAGACAGAAGCAGGAATCCAGAAATAGAGCCACTCAGATGAGGTCACTTGATTTATGGCAAAGGTGACATTGCAATATGGTGGGAATGGATGATCTTTTCAATAAATATAGCTGGAGCAATTAAATATCCATGTGGGGAAAAAATGAACCTGAAGAAATGAGCTCATAGCATACCCTCAAATTAATTAGATACAGGTCATAGCCTACATGAGAAAGGTAAAATCATAACGCTGGTGGCAGGTGCCGGGGTGGAGGGTACAGTCTGGCTGTCCCTTCCCCAGTCTCATGCGATGACTATATTGGGCCCAAGTTCGATGGCTTCTGGAATTGCTGACATGTTGGGGCCCAAACCTGTCTGCATTCCTGGATCCCAGAGGCAAACTAGACCATTAAGGTTTCCTTTGTCGAAACAGGAGGAATAAGGGGTCAACTTAAAATTTCACCTCCGCCACTTGGCAGTGTAGTAGGAAAAAAAGAATTGCTGAGTGCAACTGGTGGGACTGTGGGGATTTTCTCCTATGCCACCTGTCCATTCGTCTAAGGAAAACAACCTGGGTTTTTAGGCAGAGTTTTTAGGATGTAGCCCAGGCTGGCCTTCTGTTGGTCCTCCTGCATCAGACTCCCAAGTGCTGGAATTATAGGAGTATATCAAAAATATTTTATCTATTTTATAATGGTTTATTTTATTTTTACGTGCATGTGTGGGTACCTGTGTGTAGGTACATGCATGTGAGTGCAGGTACCCTCAGAGGCCAGAAGAAGGAGTTGGATCTCCTGGAAGTCGAGGTTTATCCAGTTGTGTGCCATCTGATCTGGGTACCAGGCACCAAACTGCAAGAGCAGTCCATGCTCTTAACCATTGAGCCATCTCTCCAGCCCCCAAAATAGTTTTAAATGTAAGAGGGATCCATGATAGCCAGTGTTGCCCAGTCTCCATGAACCACTTGGGACACCAATGTCCTCTGCGAAGAACGGCTGTTGAGACTTGCCATTTCTAGGGCCTCCTTCCCACATATTTCCAAGAGCCTTGAGAGAGCAGTTGCTGCATTTACCACAGGCTGCGG